TTGTTTGTTAAAATACATAAACTCAGGCTTGCATTTCTTTTGAATTAATTTTATTTTATTACATTGATGCATTTAACACTTAATATGTGTGAGTTGAGTTGATAACTCAGTTATTCTTGGAGCAGAACTTCACATTATAAAATATTTTTGAAAATTATTAGTGAAAGGTTATTATAATATCCTCACATCAAAGCATGTAAGGTAAATATACCATAATCTGATACTTTTGCTGTTGAATTCTTGAACCGTGCAACATATTATCAGTTACGATGCATTTTTTTTAATACTTATTTGAGCAGCGATCCGAACACTAAAGAGTTTTATGAGCTGTTGTGATGAATTTCTCACAACTAATTTTTTTTTTTATAGATCACAAACCAAATTGTTATCCCATTTCTATGTGCTGATTTTTATTATTACAGTTATTGTAATAATGACAATTATTTATTGGTGCTGTAAAACCGTATCACGGCTATTTTCACTTGGAAACATTCAAACACTATTGCTTGACAACAGGCTGTTCGAAGCGGGATCGAACCCAGGACCTCTGATCCAGGTCCAGTTGTTCTAACCACTTAACCTACGAGCGAGCAGCCCTGTTACAATGCTAAATATTAGCCATAAATTGCTATTGTTTGTGCTTGTGACTTATTTATAGTCGAAGCATTTGTCATGCGGATTTAAATTTATTAATTCTCTTAGGGTAAGATAGTGATTGCAAAAGAATCGAAAATGATTTTTTTTTTTTATAAATCTTTACGTTTAAAAAATTTTCAGAACATTTCGATACACCTTAAAAAAAATGAATGTATGTGTGTGTGTTTGGATACAATTTTTTTGCCAACAATGTCGAGAATACGGTTCCACCCCACCCATTGAATAATTCAAAAACATTCGATTCGATTTTAGAAAAAATGGATGTGTGTGTGTGCGGATACAAACTTTCGTCGACGATTTCAGGAGTACTATTCAACAGATTTCAATTATTCGATTTCTATTGATAAGGAGACGTGCTGATTAGTTTTTGGTAAAAGCAGGTCTAGCCGTTTCGAAGATACGGGGTAAAAAGTGCCAAAAACTATAACTCAGTTTTCAAGAGAACGGAGCGTCCGATTTTAATAATTCAAAAAACATTTTACATGTATTGACAAGATGAAGAACTGATTGAATTTCTGGGCAGGCAGGTTTAGCGGTTTCGAAGATCTAGTGAAAAAAGGAAAAAAATGCCATTTGGCGGTCAAAAATGATCATTAGATATAGACACATCAAATTATTAGATATTTTATGGAGATTTTAATAATACGTATTAATTTTGTTTACATTTCTATGGGTTTCAGAATTTCCAAAATATTTCAAAATAAAGAATTTTTTTTCAAAGTCTTTTTATTCAAAAATTTTTGGTACGGGAAGTACCAGCACGATGCCCTGCACCGCTAGATTTTATATCTTTATTAGATAGATAGATGAGCAAATTCGTATGTGAACATTTCATGCCTAGATAAAAGAAGAGTATGATTCACATAATTCGAATATTCGAATATTCAAATGAACATCAAACGTGCTTCAACTTCTTTTATCTATGGTGCTTCAATAAATTAGTTTAAGTCATAGTGTTGCCGCTGCAGCCAAAGTTGTTAACATCGAGTTCGAGTGACAAGTAATTGCCCGATTGCTACGCTGCCCTCCTGTTATTGTAGGTGTTTATCAAAATGGCGAACTGAACAATACATAGTATGAGAAAAGATGTTATTACAAAAATAATGTAAACGTCTGTTATATGATAATTATAAGAGTGAAAATTAAAAGTAAGTTGATAAAATGCTCTATGTTCACTTGTTTCTTTTGTGACTTCATTATCGACTTCTGATATATGTTGTGCATTTATTGTCATTAGAAGTACCCCAAATTCACCGACTTGGCCGTAAATTAAGTTTCAAAATATTTTCAATAGAGTTATTTGTTGAAATTTTGAAAGGTAAGGAAAGTTAATGTTTTGTTCGAAATACAAAGCTGATTGTTTTTTGCATTTATTTTATGATGGACAAAGTGAACTCTCACTATTTGATTGAATATGTGAAAAGACTTCAATTTATTTCTATATTTTTTTAAGCAAGATATGCTTCGGATTATATGTATATATAAATATATATATTTATTTATTCATATATATAATACGTAAAGTGTGTATGATGGTGTATTGTATGTTTTCAAAAGTCTTAGTAGTAGCTGGTTTAGTGCAAATTTGGTCTATAATTTGCTATGACATTTGTTCCTGTCGGTTTTATACAACAGATGGAAGTCGAAAGAATGTTTTTTTCTTGTTTTAATGTAAACAGAAAAACTTGTTTTTTTCTGTTTATAATTTAATAAGAAACTTTTTTATTACATTTTTTTTGCAAATTATTCACTACTAAAATTAAAGAATTAAAATTTTGCAAAATGTGCTATTTATGTGCTCGTTATGAATATATAATATTGCATTTTATAAAAAATAATTCTAAATAGCGTGCTATCTCATAATGAAGGTAAGTAGAAAAACAATAAGATTGTGACATTAACAGTAATTTGTCAATTACAGGAAATTTCCAAGAAATTGACAAGAATATAGACGTAATAAATTTGTGAAGTGAAAATATTGATGATTTTATTTATATGTTAATATAGTGTTACAAATGTGGTAATTTTTGAATACAACTCATCAATCAAGTGAAGTGAAGGGTTTTTTGGCTTTTGAAATAAACAATATCACTTAACGTGCTGTTATGGCTGATTCAGATTGTGCACCTCCTGGTACAGAAGTTGAAAAACAAGAAATTAGTGATAAAATGGACGAGGTAAATATGAACACAATATGAAGCATTATTAGTTAAAAAGATTTTTTCATTAAAACCTATTTAAAACTAAATATTAGTTCTGTGCAGATTTATTTGTATATATTATATTTGGTAAGTATGAGTGTTTTTCATTATAAAGAATATCAATTCAAAAGTTTCTCATGTCATGTATTTGACATTCTTCAATTACATTCCCACAATGCATATCATAATTATTGTACACAATGCACATTCATGAATATCTTTATATATAAACTTCTACATGTATATATAAGCCATTATTGTCTGTCGCCAGTAGTTTACAGTTAGCTTGCATAAATGCACTTGATACTAATTAACCAAAATTGTATTTTGTATGTCATTCAAATGTCATACTAACAACAAAAACTACAAATAAAAATAAAGTGAAAAGATAAAATCTTAAAATAAATTTATTTCTGTTCATACATGAAAGAAAAGTAGCAATGAGATATAATACTTAAATGTTTTCTAGTAAATTTTGTTTTTTGTGTTTCATTCAAATCATTATTGACAGACTTTTTTTAAACGGTATGATCACTTGGCTATATGAAATTAGTTCAACTTTGGTGAATTACCTCTATCGGAAAAATTCTATGTACTAATTTTTGCAAAATGTGTAAAAGTTATTTCTCATACTGAATAATTGGAATGGCTATATTGGCACTGATTTGGAGAATATTATTTGTAGTAATTAGTAATAATTCAAAGGTTTACACCACTTTAGAAGTTCTGTTGAAACCAAATGTTTTGTCTTAAGATGTGTGATGAATATGATAGAATCATTTCCCAAAATTCTATGACCTCTCTATGTATGTGTAGATAATCGACCAAATCATCCTACAAAGATTTATCAAAAAATATTTTAAACTAAAGAGGCTTTCAAACAGTTTTTGAATATTCAAAATCTGCTGATGATTTTTAGCTAAATCATGGACCAAAAAAATTGCACTTTCTACTAATTATAAAAAGCGGTTTGATTGATCGCCATGAAAAACGAATCAATGCAAACTCATTTTGAATTACCTTGAATGACTTGAATGTTACGATGGTCTATCTTCAAAAGAAACAACACCAAACGAACAAGGCGACATACAGTTTGACTTCACACACTGGAAACAATTTGTTTTTCGAAGAAGTCACTGCCATAAAGTACGCTGATGGTGTTATCAAACATTTGATAACTATGATGATTATTGTTTTCACAGTAGAAAGACGATAGAGAATCAAAGATTGACATCGACAAATTTATAGCAATGACTATCGAATAGTTATATACCACACCGGATACAAGTGGAAAATAAGGAGCTGAAAAATGTGCATGATTTTAAGTACTTAGGAAAAATAATATTTGGGACATAATTGCAAGGGCCTATGTGGCCTTGTTCACAAACTAAAGAATAATGCCGATGAGAAAACTGCCTCAACCTGAGAAGAAGCTAATAAAAAGCTTTATTTGGAGTATTCCTCTGTGTTGATTGTTGTTGTTGATTGCTCTGTGTCTTCAAAACTGATGTTACATAGTTCTTAACCAGAAGTTGATTAAATAATTTATGCATAATACATAACAAATATCAAAGTATTATTAACCATTTCAAAATTACTTTACCATCCGATTCCATCTTTTTTTTGTTTTTTGTCCATTTCATGGTTTCTTGTCTGACAGTTGAAACAAAATGAATTTCGTATAAAATGGTCCAATTAAGCATTCTGGTTTATTAAAAAAAATCTTTTTACTTCTAATTTCGCTTTAACTAATTATGATATGTTTGTTTTTTGCATTTATAGGAAATAAAAAAAATTATAGTTCTGGTTTCGAATTATTTTATAATTGCTGAATGATGACAAATTTAGAGTACTTCATTATTCTATTTTAAAGTTTTTTCTATTTAGTATTACTACATTATGTGTATGTATATATATATATATATATATATATATATATATATATATATATATATATACATATATATATATATATATATATATACATATATATATATATATATATATATATATATATATATAGTATTTGATATTTAATATCAAATATTTGATGTTATTGCGGCCAGAGTTGGCACTGAAATATTATTTTATTTCTAGTTTTTGTTTTAATCAAATTAAGCAGTTATGGATGGATATTCAAATTAGTTCCGAACGTATGTGAGATTTAGTTGGTATATATATATATTTATTCTATGGAATTTTACACTTGCAAAACGATGTTCTGATCTGGCATATTTCTGAAACGCATTTGTAGATTATAATATATATTTTCAACAGTAAGATATGATATGTTATAAAATTATGAATTTATTTTGAACAATTAGTCCTAATTTTTTCTTCCTATCTTTCTATGTTAACTTCGGTGACGGTGTGCAGTTCTTGTCCATTTATTCTTCGTCGGTCTATTTTGTCTTTTCCAGTACTATAAGCTAATTTTTGTCAACTTTCTTTTTTAAGTCCATGGTTACGATGATCCTTATAGGGCCAACCTTCAAATGTCGCATTTTATCAGTTCCTTCTATGAATCAATACTCGGTTTGCCATTGAATAGTTTTTGAACTGTAGAGACTGTTACCTTTCAAATCCAGATTTTCTACCGATATCCTCAGAGGTTAATGTAATAATGGTAGATACTTTTTTTGGACTTTAGACTTCTATTGTGAATTTGTCCAATGCTATTATACTCGTGTTCCATGTTTCTGCCTGAAAGGCAAATCTTACTTGTGATGGATTTATAGCCTCCACCTGGACATTCTAATAAAAAGTTATAACTTCAGACTATTTGATAAAGGTGGTAGACATTGCTGATATATTGTTGTAGAAGGCTATGAAAGAAAGTAATTCACTGGTATTTTTTCTGCGCTTAAACTTTTAACACGCGCCAATATGTACTTCTTTTGTTTCACTTAACTTAATGGAGAAATGGATTTTAATAAATTCTATAATTTTTCATTAAGTTTTTATTTCCATATTTTTAGAATTCTTTATTATTGGAAGATATTCTTTTAATTTTGTTTTTATTTGAGCATAGCAGTTCAATATTTACTACAATTAGATATTTTCCATCATTTTACCAAAATTGACCAAATAACTACAACGAATTAAAAACATTGGACATACGTAAATGTACAATGTTTGAAAACTATGCTTATGTAGTTGGATAAATACAAAAATATATCATAGTGTGATATGATACGACAGTGTTTTGACAAATATTGAAATTGTTTGATGAATATTATCTAATCGTTGCGAAGGCATTTCGATTAGAGCTTACTTATTGAGCTGTATGAGAAAACTTTTGGTAAACCGCGTTTTACATGAATTCTTTTCAATATTCAATGTGGTGGGGTTAAAATAATCAATATTTTGATTGCATCTATTTATCGCTAAAGTGTTGAGTGACCAGTATTTTATTTTGTTTTGTTAAATATAGAAACAAAATAAAATAATGATCACCCAACACTTTAGCGATAAATAAATGTAATCAAAATATTGATTATATATATATATATAATGTATTGTTACATACATGCATATTATGTTATTATTTTATTATGTTATATTAAATGAATTATATATCATTACATCATTAGTTTTACTGTTCTCAAGTTGATTACGCTTTATTATTACTGCTGCATATTTATTATGCCACCCAAATAGCTATCATTTTTAATTCAATTTTTTATTTGTAGCAAACAGAACTTGAGAGGCATATTTTGACTTTAACTGTAAAGTTGGATGATGGCACAAAGGCAAATGTATTCACTCGAAATGGATATAACAATAGTGGATGGTATTCATATAGCTGCAATATATGCAAAGTTCCGAACTTATCAGCTAGCTGCCTTCAGGTGATTATCTATTTACATATTTACATATTTTTATTGAGAGTGCAAATTTGGTGTGGATATGTATTTTAATAGAGAAATTGATTTGGAATTTCTGCTTTAATTGCAGATAATTGATTTTCCTGTTTCAATGTTCTAAATATTAATTGCCAGTAATTAACCATTATCTTGTATGTAGATCATATTAACTATATATATATATATATATATATATATTAGGGTGGTCCTTAAAATGGTCATTTTCGAATTTCCTTGCTCCCAGGGGCTCAAATGGTTCCAAATAGATAAAAAACAATTCTTCAAAAGCTTTAGCTCTTAATATTAACGTTTAGATAGAGCGCAATTCAATCAAAGTTTTGTATGGAAATAGCATGGAAAAATTTTCAAAAACTTTCAAAATGTTTTTTAGATGTAATTTAGCGAACGAATGAATGAATAAAACTCATTCATTCGTCGCTAAGTTATACCTGAAACATTTTTTTTTTATTTTTAAATTTTTTTCTATGCTCTTTCCATACGAAGTTTGATTGAATTGCGCTCTATCTAAACGTTAATATTAAGAGCTAAAACTTTCAGAGAATTGTTTTCTATCTATTTGGAACCATTTGAGCCCCTGGGAGCAAAGAAATTCGAAAATGACCATTTTAAGGACCACCCTATATATATATATATATATATATATATATATATATATATATAATATGTAATCATTTTCATAACAATTTTTACTTGTTTATTTGAATACCAGCCTCGACATATTCCTGCAATAACTTGTAATTTTGAATTACCTCAGTTTTTAATTGATATTAAGCCCGAATCCATTGCTATTATTATTATTATTATTATTATATATATATATATATATATATATATATATATATATATATATATACGAGGTGTGTTCAAAAAGTACCCGGAATTACTAATAATTAAATTTCGCGGGTCTGGAGTGTCTGATTGTCAAAATTTTTTTTTTATTGTGTTGGTATACATGCCCCTAAAGTATGATGAAATTTTCAGCTATATTCACTGTTTACTTTGTCTGTGGTAGTCGCTAAGGTTCGACGTGTTTTTCTGAGCTCGGCGATTTTTACAATGGAAGAATTGAAAAGTCAAAGAATTTGTATTAAATTTTGCGTAAAAAATGAAATAAAGTGTTGCAAAGTGCAAAAATTCACCAGATATGGCTCCGTGTGACTTTTTCCTATTCCCAAAGTTGAAGAGACCCATGAAAGGACGGCGGTTTTCCTCGATTGAAGAAAATCGCTGAGAGTGCTCAAGGACATATCAAAAAGTGAATATCAAGGGTGCTTCGAAAATTGGAAAAAACGCTGGCATAAGTGTATTATATCTGGGGGGGACTACTTTGAAGGGGACCACATTAATGTAGACGAATAAATAAATATTTTTTTGAAAAAACGAAAATTCCGGGTACTTTTTGAACAGACCTCGTATATATAACGAGAGCGCAATTATATTTTAAGATTTATGTGATTTATTTAACACACTATTCTAAAAATTTAAATTTTAGATGCATTTGAATGGAAAGAAACACCAGAGCAAACTTCTCTTGCCCGTGTTAAGTGCAAAATTATTTTATGCACAACAGAAGAAACCAGAAAACAAATGCAAGTAAATTACATATATTCACCAAAAAGGCCATTCAAGATTGCTATTATTTCTATCTTTGAATGATTGATTTATAATCTTTTCTCTATTTATTGCTGCACATTTAAGAAATTTATAACCTGTGTAAAATTAGCAATAAATTTATTTTAATAGTTTTTATTGTAGCAATTATTCTATTTTGTACTCGACTGTAAACAATATACTACATAACTGTAAAACAAAATTGTCATGTGCAAGATATTAATCAAAATCAACAATAAATGGTTTTCTTCATATATGATTCAAGTGCATCCAATAAATAATATTAGCTATTATTATATTGACTATTTGGCTTAGGGTAATTTTTTTCATGTACTAGATATTAGTACGTGTATAAAAATTAATTTTAATCAGATATGTGGAATTGGTTTTGATTCTTAATCAACATTTATTCATTGCTGGACTCATGAATTGAGAGTAAAATAAACTATGGGGATAAATGCTGGTGATTTTGAAGAATTACACAGTTTTGTTTTTTTTTTATTATGCAGATTTTTTTGTAAATCTACAATTTTTTAGAAACTTGTCTTCTAAAATGCTACCAATAAGTGATTTTATACAATGTGCAGTTTTATTTTTGCTATTTTCTTGTTCTTTGTATATTTAGTTAACTTGAAACAAATAAGCTCATTAATATAAATATTTTCTGATTATAGTAATAAGCTCATTAATATAAATATTTCCTGATTATAGTACCAGAATTATGTTTGGCTCCTGGAGAACCCGTACCTCCTGGCTTCGAGGGGGAAGTAAAAGGAGTTGCAGAACTTCAAGCAACGCTAGATGATTGTAAAAGTCCATTAATTGGGCTGGAATATCTGACTGAGCTTATTGGGGATCAGAAAGAACCTCAATATGTATGCAATCTATGTGATAAGAGGGGTGATCCCAGGACGGTGATGGCTCACTTGACTAGCTACAATCATCGATTGTGGTACCTGGTAAGTAATTGTACTTTTATGTTGACTAAATATATATATATATATATATATATATATATATATGTATGTATGTATGTATGTATGTGTGTGTGTGTGTGTAAATACACTCAAACATCAAACATAAAACACTTATCAATATTTGAAAAAGAGCAAATACAGAAAAAATATCTAGATTATTAACTAAATTAAAGCTCAACTTCATAATCATTTTTACTGTTGTACAAATATTTACTGATATTTATATTTATATTTGACTTGCGTTGCAATGGGTAAACCATCAATTTAATTTGTGTTAGCTGTCCCTTTCACTTACATACCACATACTTCTACATTCAGAATCAGTTATTCTTTTTACTAATGAAAAATTTGAATGTCTTTAATAATTTGAAAACATGAAGATTTTTATAAAAAAAACTGAAGTCTTTTAAAAGTTTTTTACGCTTATTTCAGTTGGTTCTAACTGTCGAAAATGTCGAGGACATTTGTTTGAACTATATAAGTTGACTTTATAAATTCTGATACGGAATTAATGGAAACAAAATTACTACTTATTATTAAAATCTCTATGAAATATCTCATAATTATGTGCATATGTCTAATGATCATTTTTGACCACCAAAAGGCATATATTTTAACTTTTTTTTCGAATGTCCGAAACCGCTGGACCTCCGCATACATTTAATCAATTCTTTATTACGTCAATACAAGTGAAATGTTTTTTAAATCATTAAACTCAGATACTCTATTCTCTCAAAAACATAATTGCCATTTTCTGTACTTTTTGCTCTGTATCTCTGAAACGGCTGGACCAACCTTTGCCCAAAACTAATGAGAACGTTTTCTTATCAACAGGAATCTAATGCGTTTTGAATAATTCAATTCAATCCGTATCTACCCATACATAAACACACAACTATTTTTTTAAAGTATGCCAAAATTTTCAGAAAGTAATGTAAAGATTATCATTTCCGATTTTCTTGCATACGATAAGTTAATAGTTTTATTTTAACAGGAAAACCACTTTCCAACTGTATACAAATCTTTATGGATGTGGAGAAATAACAAAGAATATAAAAAATTGGTACCCACTGTAGTACAGAATATTGCAGAGGCAATTGAAATAAAATATGGTCGAACTACTCCTTTCATTGTTGATAAGGATTTATTCGAAGCCAATAAAAAAAAATACTATGATGAAGCTGTTAATGATAAGCATTTTTCTGAAAAGAATGGACCCACATTTATAAATTTGGTCAATAAGCAAGTATTTGAAGAACTAAAGCAGAAACAGCTAGGTATATAAATGATATACAATATGTTACATTTGAAAACAGATTGGAGTAAAAATCCAATCTAACTTTTTTCAAATGTAGCATATTGTAAACATAATCATAAATCAGTGCACAAATTATGAAAATTTAGCTGAGATTTCAATCCAAAATGTGCTGCCAGTAATTTGCATTGACTATGCTGCCTTCCTCTCAGTAAATCTTAGTAATAAAACGGTTCATGTCTTAATATTTTAGCAAGTAGACTAGCAGATTGGTGTGGAAAAAAATGGCTTAAAGCTGCATAATTTTTTTTTTTTTAACTGAAACTGTTTAAACATTTAGGAACTCCCTACCTAATATTGAATTGCTAACATTATTAGAAATGCCAACTATTTTTGTGTCATTTTTATATATTTATTTTGAATCAATAACTATAAATATATTCAGAAAAAAAAAAACAATTGAATATTTTCGATAGAACAGTAAATAATTTTGTTACTGTGCATGTGTTCAATCTATTACTATTCAAGGCAAAAGAACAAAAGTAAAAACATTGATTAAGGCCTCAAGCAGCATTTAGAATCATGATTTGAATTTCTTACTGAGTTGCTCATATTTTGTGCACAACTCCATACAGTACTCGGTCGAGGTTTTTGTTATACTATATGGTAAATTTTTTTTTTTTCAATATTTATAGAAGAAGAAAAAATTAAAAAAGACAAAGAAAACGAACTTGCCAAGCGAAAAATTGAATTAAGTATTGAAAATTCATCTGAAAAGAAAAGCAAGTTTGATGCTGCAGAAAGTGCATCAAAAGTATATGATGATAAAAAGAACTATGATGACATTTCAAGTATTTCGAGCTCTTCATCAAAAGGATCTAGGTCGAGAAGCAGGTCGAGGTAATAACGAATATGCTTTCTCCTATTTTTTTTTTTTAAATATTAAATGAATCTTTTATATTAAAGAACAAACCGTCCTACAAGAATATATAATGCAAGATCCCGAAGTCGGGAATATAATAGAAAATATCCTGTCTATAGAGACCGAGGTCGTTCTCGTTCTCGGTCTTATTCTCCAGTCAGGTACAGCGAGCGCTATTATCGTAGTAATAACTACCGAAGCCGATCGCGCTCTAATTCCAGAACTAGGTCTACTTCTAGAAATAGACTTTTGCATAAGGTAATTTTGTTTTGTTTTTTTTTTCGAGGTAAAGAATATTATTGTATAATGTATAAATCATTCAATATTTTTCTAATTTATTTCTTGAATACGTTAACAAAATAGTGCCCAAAATAAATTTGTTTTTCAAAGACATGTACAATATTATTTCAGTACTGAACAGGCAACAATTTATCTAAACTAGCTTACTTTCTAATTGTACTATTAAATTTAATAAAGCAACTGAAAAATTTTCAAAATAATTTGGAATAAATTTTCTTTTTATGGATAAATAAGAAAATTATTTATTCTCATTAAAACTAATAAAGAATATAATGAAAACTATTTTATTTTAGTCTTACGATCGTGACCTCTATAGAAAGCCAAGAAGGCTTTGGGAAACGAGTATGGGTAGAGGAGGATACACACATGAAAAATCCGAAAAAAGAATTAATGTCCCTTCAGCAGCCAGACCATCTACTGACACAAAGCGTCAGATAGCTCCCACACCAAAAGAGCTTGTTCAACAGGTAGAATCATTATCTTGCCTTCCTATAACAATTTTATGTAAAATTATTGATGACAATTAACAATTTCAGGCATCAAAATTATCCGCTGAAAGATATAATTTAGAAAAATATCGTTTTGCTGTTGAAATAATGGAAAGTGAAATGGAAAAGGTATTAGCAAGTCATGAGAAAAGCCCTGAAAAACATCCTTTATATCCCGATGAGTGGAAGAAGTTTTGGAATCGAAGATATAAGGAACTTCAAGCGGGTATCTAATACTTTTCAAATATACAAAATAAATTTTTACACAATTAATAAAATTATTTGAGCAAGTGCTAAATTTTTTTTTAGAAAATAAGGATCCAGCCAAACATGACTTCAAAACTGAGTGGATTAAATTTTGGACGGAGCGTATGAAACAACTGCATAAAGAGGAAATTGAAAGCAAGCGAGTTAAATTGCGAGAAAAATATAATATTAAAGAAAATGCTGAAGAACAGAGTGTTAATAATCTTAAGGAGCAATATATATTGAAAGTTAAACCTTCATGCCATATTGATTCGGAAATCATAGTTCTTGATGATGATAGGGTTAGTGACAGACAATCTGGGACTAGTCAACACAGCGAAAATAAGAGAGCACCTAGCAGATCATTAAAGAGTGCAAGTCCTTGGGATGATGATGACGATTTTGATGTAAAATCTAGAGTGTCAAGAGCATCTTCCAAGCGAATTATACATGAGACTGGTGAACGCAATAAAACTTATGACGAATGGGCTAAAGATTATTATGGTCCCAATAAATCAAAGACAACATTCATTCGAGAATTACACACAAGCAATGAACAATATCCAGCTTTAGATCCTTCCGAATCTCTAAATATAGTTTCAGTTTTGAGACTATTAACAGCATTAGAAGATGTTCTAGGTAGTTTAGGGCCAAAAATAATCAATATGCTTTCTACTGCTTTAGCAATGGAAAAGAATAAAGCCAATTCTGCAGAGGATCTATTATTGAATGATGCAAACAGTGTAATGTTTGAGACGGTTAAGGAGAAGCTTAAGGGACAATTGTTTGCCGGAATTCTTGATACACAGAAAATTCAACCAGTTAAAACGGCTATCCAAAAAATAGCAACATTGTTACATCAAGCCTCAGAAAAACAAAAGCAGAATGAAGAAGAAGAGCGCAAAGCTTTGGCTGCCAAAAAACTAGAGCCAGTATCTGTGCCAGGTGTGGGTGCTGTTGATAAAGCAGCAATAGCTAAACAAATTGCAAATGCTCTAATGGCTCAGGGTAAACCAAATGTCACCACAGATGAATTAGAACAACTTATCAATGCAGTAGTAGGAATGGCAGGTGCATCTCAAGCATCCAGTAAACCTTTGACAACGGCTGCTTATTTAGCCCAGTTACAAAACACAAAACTAGTAGACGAAGTTATTACTGAAGATACAGAAAAATCAAAGATAATTATAGAAGATGATATACAAGATAAAAAAGATCCAATGGATGGTTTATCCGATTCTGACTTGAAAACCTTACTTCAAAATTTTAGTAACTTATCTAATGATGAACAACATGGGTTAATCATGTACCTGAAGAAACTAGAAGCTCGAGAACCAGAAAGAGTTGAAAATCTAAGAAAATTTGTGAATGTTGAACAATTTGAGAGTGTAACAGAAAACAAAATTGATAAGTCAGATACATTTCAACAAAATTCAGGGCGTTCAAGTCCATTTTCTAATCGAGAAGGTGTAACAAATCCAAGCTCTGAAATAACATTCAATAATTCCAACAGTTTAAGCAAATCTAGTGATGAGAACACTAAATTTGAAGAACATCACCTTATAGAGTCTGATGATGAAGATTATAGTTATGAAGATGTCTTCAAAGCTGCTTCCAAGAATGTCAAAGAGAAACAGCTCCAGAAAGATATGAAACTGATTAAAGACACAATCACTAGGGACCGAGAAAGTGCAAATACAATTTCTGATAAGGATATGACGCTTGTGGATGCTACTTCACTCATTGCAAATTTAATGCGCTCTCTGCAAAACAAATCAGATAATATAAGACCAAGTTCTGAATCTTTAGAGCAAACTACTAAGAAGTCAGATCCTAATATTCCACAAATTGCGAACACAACAGTACCTTATGACAACAGTTTAGAGGCATCAAATTCAAGAAATTATCCTGATCCAACATTAGATTTAATAAATTTGAGGCCACATAGCAATAGCACATTAGATACATCAAACATAAGAATAAACCCATCAATGAGTAATATTCGAGGTTCATCGACTTGTTCTGATCCACACTTCAAAATGCAACCTAATTCTTTGGATAATTCAGGATCTTATTCCGACTATTCAGATTTGTCAAGTTCAAGAATAAATCCCAACTTCTCAAATTGTAGTAGCATGAGATTGAATCCAAATACATCTGATTTGTCCAATGTTAGATTACTTGGTAATAGTAAAAATACGACTCAGTTTAATCAAATGAATTCCGGTCCGCAGAATTCTAATCGAACATTTTCAACGTCATTTCTGAATGATAGGGATTCAAACTTTATGCAAACAGATAGTCTTGATAAAAACGCTGCAGATTTACATGGCAATAACAGTTATCAGAATAGTCATACAAATTCTTTTTTATCAGGCAATTTGTATGATCAGAATAAATTTAGAGATAGCAATTGCCCCCCAGGCCAATCCTTGCAACAAAGCTACAATCAACAGTACGGCAGGTCCTCTTATGACTTAAATAATTTTAATAGCAGTTCAAATAATGGTTATGGAGGCTTAGATCAATCAAGATACAGTCGCTTTGGTGGTTCTAATCTGGAACAACGATTTAGTAGTCAAGTGAGGCAATCAAATATTGATAATCACAGATTTTCCCTTCTCAATCAGGATTACAACAATAGAAATTCTTATCAACTGGGTATGCAAAGATATGGTCAGAATAATAATCGTTTTCCTTCCAGGGGAGGGCGTTTCAATTAATTTTTTTTCTTTTAATTCGTAAGTTATTTTAATTTAATTGTAATAAATATATAAATATGTATATAATATATGTGATGTAGTCATTTTATTTAAATAAAATGTAAAACTGAGTTATTATTATTATTACTATTATTATATTGTCTTATTATTACTATTAATATTGTTATAAATGACGACGACGCATGATGGAAATAAAAATAGAAATAGGTGCGAGAGGAGAGCCAGTAGCAAGCGGCCAGCGATAACGTATTGTCGATTTGTATTGCCGAATTGCCGTTGCCGCATCGAATTGTCAGTTTGGTTGGTCAAACAAGGTACACGAATACGAATACTAATGCGAATGTTAAAATGTAGTTGTGCGTGACATGACATGAGGGTACTGTTATGTTACACGTAAGTATTTCTTTTTAACTGTTATTATTGATTAATGCCCTTTGGACACACACAATCACTTAAATCAGCGAACTTATCTTAGCAATGCGCATGCTCATCTTATCGAAAACTTAGGTTATGTTAAAATAAAGTAGGATTATTTATCAATTCATTGTCCCGAAACTTCCACGTCAATGGTTTATGTGATTGATAATCAAACTCGCTGTATATAGTTAAGTGCAATTCTGTGTGTTAGAAACAGTTTTAAACACTCAATTCATCATAATATAATGCCGAAAGTTAATAAACGTTTAGAAAATGATATACAATCTGCTGATCCTATTTCCAAACATTTTCGATTTAGTCAGATATCCAAGCCGCATGTTAGAAATCCAAATTTCGGCGATGAAGAAACCAAGTGTTTAATTTCCTTATGGGGTAATCCGACAGTGCAGCGAACTTTAATCACATCTCACAAAAAGAGTCCTATAATAAATACTTTAGCTGTTCTGATGCAACAGAGGGGCTATTACAGATCTCCAGATGAAATAAATACAAGATTAAAAAATTTAAAATGTTGCTACAATCGGATTAAAAAAGATTTAGACGGCGGCATATTAAATAATTCCAAATGGCTTCATTTTAAAGCTATGGATGCTATATTAGGTAAACGATGGAATAAACGTGAAGTTCATAAATCATATTTTAATAAAGATAAAGAAGCTATATTGGGTAGTCCGAAAGAGAAAGATTTATTGGAAGATAATAATGATTATGAAGGAACTGAATTAAGGCCTGAAGACTTATTGGAGGTGGAAGGGCCATTGGACTCTGTTAGTATTAAAGAGGAAGATGCCATTGAAGAAGATTTGCCCAATTTAGGGTAAATATTTCAATGTTATTTAGGTGTAAATAAACATTTTTCTATTGTGATCTTTTTTCAGCTATCAACCAACTAGTCCTGATAGAAAATCAATTCAATATTTACCAGGTAATAAAGCTGTGTCAATAATACCTCAAATTTCCTCTAGTGATACGTTGTGTGCTCAATCAAAAGATTCAGCTTCAGCTTCAGGAAATAGAATATCTGTAGTTCCAACTAACTTTTTATTGAAATCGAATTCTTTATATTCACAAAAAAAGAATGAAGTTTCTATAATACCTGCAGCTCCAGAACCCACTTTTCCAAGCAACAATGTTCAAAATGGAACATTGCCATTGCAAGTATTGTTGTTAAATGGTTTACAAAAACAGCAGTATAATAATAATAACAATAATAATAATAATATTAATAGTAATAGTAATAATAACAATAATAAAAGTGATAGCAAAACGTGCACTCAAAATATTGTAGATAGTGGTAAGGATAAAAATATTAAATGTTTGGATGTTTCCGATGTTGAATATTTGATCAGTTTGTGTATCTTGCAGATATGTCAATCCTCTTACGACAGTTGATAGATATTCAATCGAAGGCTCTAGAAATTGAAAAGCAAAAACTTGATTTAAAGAAACAAAGGCTGGATTATGAACAATCTATTGGATCAAAATTAATAATGTTAATTCCATTATTTGAAACAATAGCTCGTAGTATAGATTTGAATAATTCAAAGACGAGCAGTGATGATACTATAAGGGATTCCATTAATAATTAACAGGGTATTTACCTTTATCATATGTATAAAGAAAACTATCTTGTATAGTATGGATCATACAGTAATCTTAAGTTATTTTATAATGTAATGAGGCTGTATATTTTACTAAGCAATATTTTAAGTCATATTTTAATATTTTACTCTGAGAATATATATATTCTGTTTTTAATTGTATTGAAATTTATGGATTTGATTTTATCAAATATTAAATAATGCCTTTGAAGTTTCTGACTGAATTTACAGTTTACAATACATATTAATGGTAATTAAGGCAGAATTAGTATTTTCCTTTATGCACAAAATACTTATGAATATATATAGTATAGTCTGCCCGAAACTATTAACTAAAGACTGTTAACATTGTTTAATATACTGTGATTCTGTGATTGTTGTTATGATTGTTGTGTCTGGTATGCACACAATCTTTATTTCTTAATGGGTACTTTTATACTGTCTTTATGTATAATATTTTTCTTAAAACTATATTAGTTTTAGTTTATAATGAACGGGTTAATTGCAATTTTATTTATAATTATATATTTTATTTATATATGTCAACATAAATTATATTTATAATGACAATAAAGAAGTTTTATTTTCCTTATTTTCAAGTAAATATCAAACTTTAATTATTTTTAGTTCTTTGAACAGGATTACGCAATCAATGAGAATATTGAATTTTTATATTTATGATTTAATTATTTTTTGTTCAAATTATGTTAAGGCCATTGGAAAATTTTAAATAAAATCTTACTTTTAATATTTTTTTTGAAAAATAGATTTGCGTTGAATTATGCTTTTTGAGAATTTAATATGGGGTGAACTAAATATTTAGTTTTTAATTTAGAACAACTCCAGTATTCAGCAGTGTCAAAAGAATCATGAATCAAATGTGGATGATGCGATATTAAATAAATTAAATCCTTATTTGTTTACTTTTAAATAAATAATGAATTTTAATAATCTAAATTATAAACTATTTCAAGAGCTTGGATATATAATAAAGAAATGACCATAGGTCAAACTTACGATGTACTTTTGCTGTATGGGCTAGTTGTATTTCTTGTGCATTTTATTCTTCACTTTTTGATAAGCTGCTGAACTGATTTGAGAAAACCTAAAAAAGAAAATATGTTTAATAAAATCTAATAAACGGGCATAACATCAATAAAAAAAGTTGAATTTCTTTTAAAAAATATTGAAAAATCAATACGTTTCAGCTAGTCTTAGCTCACAACTTCCCGCAGGATAAGTTATATAAATCTCAAAAAAAAACAAAAATGAAATTTTTTGCGTCCACGTTTTCGAGCGCACGGATCAACCGATTTGAATGCTTAAAAAAACATTCGATTTCTATTAGTAGATAGGGAGATGTGCTGATTAGGTTTTGGCAAACCAGCTGTTACGGAGATACGGCGCAAAGAGTGCAGAAAATAGAAAACGAGATTTTGAGAGAACGGAGTATCCGATTTGAATGATTCAAAAAACATTCAATTTGTAATGATTGGGAGAAGTGGTGATCAGTTTTTGGCAAAGGCAGGTCCAGCCATTTTGAAGATACGGAGCTAAATATGTAAAAAATGGCAGTTTTTGAGAGAACTAAGCGTCCGATTTAAATGATTCAAAGAACTTTCTGCTTGTCTTAACAAAATAATTGATTTTGGAAAAGAAATTTTGTTCCAACTTTTTTTTTTTTTTTTAGTTTTTTGTATATCGAAAATTTTTCAGATTTTATTTTTAATTCTGACTATAGTTCTAATATACTTTACAAATAATTTCAACTCTGCAATTCAGTTTATATAATTCTTATAAAAATTAGACAAACATTCAGTATTCCTCGAACATTTCGTTATGGTACGGGAAGTTCCAGCAATTTGCCTTAAGGCACGATGCCATAATTGCCTCAAGACAGAATTCCACTTACAGCTAGTCTTTTTTTTAATTTTGAATTCAAACGATCTATATTATTGGTGCATTTCTACAGCATTTTATATTCGCACCAACGGTCGACGCTAGCGCCATCTATAGCGGGAGACAGAAACTAAGCCAGAAAATTGACAGATTTGATTGGAAAAACGTGGCAACGAAATATGGCCCCAGAGAGCGATCTATATACTCTTCTTTTATCTATGGTTCGAGTAAAAGAACTACAATCATGTTTCTTGGTGATGGAAAACTGACAGTCACAAAAAACACACTAGAGATGACAGATATAGGATTTTCATAATGACAGCAAGATAAAACGATTTCGTTGAAATATATTTGTGTTGTTTTTGCTGAAGAACTTGCGATTTTCTAAAAAAAATGGCTTGTAGTCCACCGACAAAACCTCCTCGTGGAGTAAAATATGTTAAAGAGACGGTATAAAATTTAAACTTCAAACTTATACATTAAAAACTCATTTAGATTGTAGTAGAGCCGCCTTTAAATTTGTAATTCATAATAACAATGTATATTTTAATAACAATAAAATTGAAATGTAAATGCTTTATGTTGCAAATTCAAGCCTTGTGCAAACTGTTGCATATCTGTGGTAAAAAAGAATGAAAATTTAATTATTTCTTTGCATTTTTTTCTACCTATACACTTTGTATGTTCTAGTTACGATTTAAGTTCAAATAGTTGGATAAACATTTACTTATTATTTAATACGTCAATGAAATTTCAGCTAAGTTTTTGATTTGTATATATTATTGAATATTTATATATTTTTATTAATTAACAGAGTGGGTTGTTGATGTCAGTAATACGATCTTTGTCTGCAAGTGAAACTACTGAGCAACGAGATAGAGAGAAAGCTAAGCTCGAGAAAGAATATAAACATAGTGATAAAAGATTAGATGATTTAGTATTGGAACATGAACAAAATCTTACCCAGGTCATGCAATTATTTGCAAAGCTATCAGCTGATGTAACTTCTTCAAGAGAAAAAATCAATTTAGTGAAAGAAAATCTCCATGCTTGTAAACAATTACTTCATTGTCGAAGAGATAAATTGAGAAAATTGTGGTTGGAGGGAATTGAACATAAACACGTTTTACAACTCTTGAATGAAATGTTTGTACAAATGCTTTTCAGCACTAACACAATTTTTAAAACTAATATTTTACATTTATTCATTTAGAGAATATATTAAAAAGGTTCCAGCTCAATTATCAAATTATATATTGAAAAAACAATACTTGCAAGCAAGCAAATTGTTAGTATCGGCTATGAAGCTTTGCGAGGGTTCACTTAACAATGTTGAGGCTTTGAGAGAAGTGCGATCTGATTTAAAATTACGTAAGGAAACTTTGAATTTAAAGATATTAGATGATTTAAGTCATCATATTTATCATCGATACACACCTGATATTTTGGCTTTACAAAAACAAGGTAAGTTATATTTAAATAATTAAAGTTTATCACATAGCAGATTAATTAAACAAAATTAAAACTTTGTTTTAGGATCTGGTCATGACATATTTTCATCTCCATTACAACAATTCAACCAGAATAGGCCGTTCAATGATAAAAGTGCCTCAAAGTCCAAAAGAAATTTAATGTCATCTGTATTGAATACAGATGTGTCTTTTCTTAAGAATATTGAACATAATTTTGAGGAGATGACAGAAAATCAGAACATAATAGACCCAGAGTTGAATCCTTCTTATTTTCTTGCTACAATTATTGAAAGTTTAGCCTTGTTGGACAGATTGCCAGAAGCAATAGAGGTATATTGTAATTAATTTGCTGTTTCTCTATATGATGTTAAAATAATTGATATTTGCAGGTTATTAAAGTGCAAATGCAGACTGAGTTATTAGATATAATATCTCGAACATCTCAACAAATATTAGAAAATCTGAATTTACCTCTACCTCATTCAGAGAACTTGCAAGTTACTGCAAAAAGTGCCATAGTTATTAGTGATTCAAATAAAGCAAGTGCATTGTCAATTTTACTTTATGCTTTATTTGAACAGATTCGATTTGTTGCTAATAATCATGCCGTTGTTATTAAATTTCTTAATCAAGCTTTGAGTAGACATAAACTTTCTATCAAAGCTTATGAAATGTCTGATTATTGGTCAAAAGTACAAGCTGTGGTAAGAATTTCTAAAATTGGAATAGTAACAGTTTATTTGGCAGTGCTTATGTTTTCAACTTAGCATACTTGTTGCAGCTCCAACTTCTCCTTACTGACTACCTTGATATACAAAATATTTCAGAACCTAATCCAGTTGGTTACTTTGAGCATGCTAGTGACGTTAGTTCATTCTTTACTCGGCGCAAAATTCAAAGGTAATTAGTAGATTTACTACATTATTAGGGGAAATATGGACAAAATGGTATTTATAGACAGAATGACAAAGTGACCTTATTTAAAAATGGGCTAGTTTTAGAAACGTTTTTGCAACTGTATCACTTTAAGAAAGCTATAATCACATTTCTGTCGAATGTTGAGCATCACAGTCTTTTTGCAGTAATCAGTTGAAAATATAGAATGCATTCAAAAGTTTATCTCTGAGGGTGGTTTTCACATGTTTTTTAGCAACTTATTGATTGTTATTTGTATTTATTTCTATTAAGATCAATGAACTTATGCCATTACTTGTGATTTTGATTCATTCTATTGCAATTATCAGGTCATTGCAATTATCATTGCATTGACGGGATTTTGATTATATATTTATTTTTGTCCACTTTCAGACCAACGTTTGAAACTGATTATAATGTTATCAGTTAAATAAATATTAAAAAACAAAACGTCATATCATTTAGTCCATACTTTTCCTATATATATTACACACACATACCCATATATATATATATATATATATATATATATATATATATATATATAATTTCTAATTTATCAATCTTGAATGTATTGGTATTGAAATTGGCACTTGCAATGTGTATACTTTTATATACTTGTCCCTTCATTATGAAATTGCTCAAAGAGATTAAATATTTTGTGACTAGAACCTCTATAATTTAATATGTTTATAGAAATTTTATTGTGATTGCAGTAAAAAAAGAAGTTACCTATTTAAATTTGACCATTCTTCAAATGCTCCAGCTGAGTCTTTGGAGCAACATGTTACGGATAGCAGTGATAATTTTTCTTTGGAAGGTCGTAAACGATTTATTCAAAAAAAGAAACGTGATAAATTTTTGGTTTGTCAACCTACTCCAAATAATATAACAATAATATTTATACCTGTAATAAAATTTATCGAAGAAATTGAACAAGAATTAGACTGTAAACCAGGGTGAGTAACTCTAATGTTTTTAAGTATATATACAGTAGAATCCGCTTAGTATGACATCGAAGGGACGCCAAAATCTCGTCATACTAACCGGTCGTCATTAAAAGCGTACTGTAGAAAAACTTTTTAATATGCAAATATGTTACATGTTTCAGTAATTTAAAAGATGAAAAAAATGAAAATGACACATTAAAATTTATTATAAAATAAAATTGACATGGGGAAGACGGGGCACAACGGTCCAATTCGACTTACGGTAATTATACTGTCTAAACCCAATGAACAACACATAACATACATCAAAGAAGCATCTATCGAACTATGTTCAGAAAAACTTACATACATACGTACATAATTCCTAATTATATAAATAATAATTTACTATTTTTTAAACATTTGGTATCTGACCCATTTTACCTCACATACGGGGTAAAGTGGAACTAGGGGGCGAACAGATGCAATTTCTTCTATTAAATTTTAAAGGCATTTTACGCTACATTATTGAACCAATGCAAAATATTAATTCTGTGAATACATTTGTTACAAAGACAACACAGTATATTACATTGATCTGCTATTGGTCAGAAATATTCATCAGAAGAGCCGGAATAACAATTTATTCAATTAATCTCTTGTAAAATTGCTTTTTTTTAAACTTTACTATTTTATTGCTTACACCTTTGCCAAAGGTTCAGCTGGTCCTTTTTATCGCAGTCATGTGCTGCTTATCTTCTGGTAGCAAAGTCATAAGAATAAAGGTGATGGCTGGTTATGAATTTATACATTTTTCGCCCTCTACTATCAAATACAATTGTTAAAAAAAATCTAATTTTATTTGTTTATGAGATATCCGTGGTGGGTCATTAATAATTAGTCTACCCTACCCATAAACATACAAATGTGTTTTTTTAATGTAAGTAATCAGTATTTTTGATTGATTTTTTACATAATTTTATTGCAGAAACAGTCCTTGGTGCTATTGTGCACAAAAGATATAGCCATTGATTTCGTAGACTTGGCCACATCATGTAAAATCATGTCGGTCATTATAATTGGACATATTTTTTTGCAAAAATGGGTCATTATAAGCGACATGTCAATGTAAGCGATGTCAATATATCCGACTAGACAGCTGTTTTTTTAAGGAATTTTATATGGAAACCAAATTCCTAGTGCGATTACGTCATATTAAGCGGTTGTCAATATATCCGGCGTCATACTAATCGGATTCTACTGTATATATATATATATATACAGTGGTACTCCGCCTTATGAGCGACTCGTCATACGAGATTTTGAACGAATGCGAGCCGCCAAAGGAGCGATGTATTCGAGTGTATTCGAGAGCATGCGAGTAAGAGGCGTAACGTAAACTTATAGTAATGCGAATGGAGCAGATTTATTTAATATCACTATTAACAAGGATTTTCGTACGTAAAGTCGCATACAAATATTTAGAGTCAATTATTTATAGTTAGAAATTTCTATTATTAATTCTTCGTTTCATTATTCTTGTTTGTCAGGTGAAATATGACCAAAATGTGTGAGAAGTAGACTTAACAAGGATGTTCAAGCCAAGCACATTAATCATAAACAACATGTTTATTAGATATTTTTTTTAAACGCAAAAACTAATATATTAATATAGTAATAATTTAGTTATTTTTTATTTAATAATTCCAATATTTCTGGAATATATATCCGATCTTAGCAATAAATATTTAATTTATTTTCATTATTGAAAAATAACATTGTCCTGAAATGAATTAATAGCATTTCATTGCTAAATGAGCGGAAAAAGTTGCTCGATATTCGAGAAATTCGACATGCGAGTATGGATACGGAACGAATTAAGCTCGTAAGGCGGGGTACCATTGTATATATATATTAGGGTGGTCCTTAAAATGGTCATTTTCGAATTTCCTTGCTCCCAGGGGCTCAAATGGTTTCAAATTGATAAAAAACAATTCTCTGAAAGTTTTAGCTCTTAATATTAACGTTTAGATAGAGCACAATTCAATCAAACTTAGTATGGAAAGAGCATGGAAAAAATTTTGAAAATTAAAAAAAAATGTTTTAGGTATTACTTAGCGACAAATGAATGAGTTTTATTCATTCATTTGCTCGCTATATTACATCTAAAAAACATTTTTAAAAATTTGGAAAAAATTTCCATGCTATTCCCATACAGAACTTAGATTGAATTGCGCTCTATCTAAACGTTAATATTAAGAGCTAAAACTTTCAGAGAATTATTTTTTATCAATTTGGAACCATTTGAGCCCCTGGGAGCAAGGAAATTCGAAAATGACCATTTTAAGGACCACCCTATATATATATATATATATATATATATATATATATATAATAGATGAACCTTGGATAATAAATCAATTTATTTCTTATCCGAACAATTAATTCCAAAACATTGTTCGGAAAAGACATATAAATCATCTATCTTTGATTATCTTAAATATATATTACTCAAAATTTTTCTGAAAGTTTTGAACTTTTTTTAAAAACAATCGTGTTGAGTGGTTGTTTTAGAAGCGCGTAAGCGCCGCATCGCAGTCTAACGGATAAACATTGACACGAAACTCATAGAAATGTAAACATAATTCATACTTATTATTCAAATCTCGATAAAATATCTGGTAATTTGATGTGCATATGTCTAATGATTATTTTTCATCGCCAAATTGCTTTTTTTATTTTTTTTCACTAGACCGTCTAAAACCGCTAAACCTGCCTTCGCAAAAATTTAAGCGCCACTTTTGTCAGTACAACGTTTCGTTATCTCAAAAACTAAATTGCCACTTTTGGTTTATTTTGCCCCGTATCTTCGAAACTGCTAGACCTGCCTATGTCAAAAAGTAATCAGTATGTCTCCTTATCAATACGAATCAAATGTTTTTTTTTTTTTTTTTTTAATTATTTAAATCGGTTGATCCGTATTCCCGAAATCGTCGACGAAAATTTCAATTCGCACCCACACACACACATACATCTATTTTTTCTAAGGTATGCCAAAATGTTCAGAAACCTGAAACGTAAAGATATATAAAAATTTACATTTTCGATTTTTTGCGATTACTATATCTTACCCGACGGGAAGTTAATAATTTCCTCAGTTGTAGCAATGATTTCCTAATATTTTGAGTGTTTTACGATTGTAATTTATTTTATAGTTAGTCGTTTCAATATTAATTGTGTAGTAACGATTTACCCATGTAAGTATATTGAGGATTATCGTTTAATGTTTGAAATTTTGACCGTACATTAATAGTGATGCATTCAGTACAATTATATATGTTGAGTTCGCTTTTTTTGCTTTGTATACACATACAAAATATTGTACATTTATAACAAAAGGAAAAAAGAAAAGGGCCATATCACTTGTTAAAGGGTGAATTTATTAAAAATTATGGGTATGGTGAGGGCATATGAGCGTAACACATTATAGATATCTATTGTTTTTAAACAGAAGGACTTGATAAAGGGCATAAATCTAGCTAAGAGCCTTGCAATAATTTATAAGTAGCTTTATAAGTTCAAAAAGGTTGTGGATAAAAATTATCCCAAAAAGATACAAGCGATTTGGCATATGAGCATGGTTATGGAACGAATTAAACTCATACGTCGGATTACCACTGTATATATATATATATATATATATATTATTATATATATATATATATATATATATAATATAATATAATAATTAAAATATAAAATAAATTTAATGATCTTATTTTTTTCTGTAGGGTACAATGCACATTAAATGCATTTTTAGCAGATTATATGAAAGAAGTGTTTTTAGGGAGGTATCATTTATATATATCATCTGAAGTGGACGCTGCCACAAAAAGCCATGATGCATGGAGATCTATAATTGATACAGAAAAATCCAAGGTTTTTAGTATAAAGTGATTTTGTAAATAATATTAGTATAAAATTTTGGTGAATAAGATTTGATAATGACATTGATTATAATAGTTTTTATTTATTTATCTAATTTAGGATACACCATTGCAACAACGGCCTTTACTGCAATCAACAGTACTAGTAAATACTTTAATTTGGGAAACAAGAAACTTAATGTTAAATATACCTTTGTATACTGATAATTTTTTCTCTGTGATATGCATGGTCTTGAAACAATATCGTGAAATTTGCCAATCTGCATATCGTGGTATAGTTCAACCAGATACAGAAGATAAAAGAATCTGTAGTGCTGCTTGGTTAAAAGATGAAGATATATGCAGATTTCTTAAGTAGTTCAATTTTTGTATTACTTAATTATATTAAAATTAGGTAGATTAATTTATTGTTGTTTACACTGCTTGTAGAACACTGCCAAATTGGGTTGATTTAAAAGCGCAACAGTTTAATGACATAAAAACCAATAACGTTCGCAGACATGGCCGACAACAGGAATCAACAGAAGAGGAAAGTCCTGAAGATGTAAAACAACGAAATTCTAGGGAAGCTGAAATTTTAATTAGTAACTTAGGAGAAGATGGGATTAATGCTCATGAAATTTTAAGCGATGTTATGGTTTTGAAAGAGCTTGCTATTTTGCAAGAAAGCTTGGTTTGTTTTGTGCTAAAACCAAAAAGAGGTGTTAAGTTGCATATTGAATATTATCATTTTAGGAATGGTTCTCTGCAAACATGATTCACCTAGCAAATGAACTGCAGCAACAATCTATGAATGCAAATGTATCTGAGCCTAAGCATTCTGTTCCAAGTGCCCCTATTGTGAAAGAAAGATCTTTGAAATGCTTATTAAATTTAGCACAAGAATTTGACGAATTAGCTAATACTTGTCTTCTTGTTCTGCATCTAGAAGTAAGCCTTTATTTTTTTCTTTAAAAAAAGTAACTGATGGTGAGTGGTACTGTACCTTGACAGCAAATGATTTAAAAATGAATCAAAGAACTATATTTTATACTATTTGGCAGTGCGGGTATTTAGATTAATTTTGACTTTCCATTGTTCATAAGCCTATAGATTGTTTTTCTATTATTCAAATTTATGTGGTAGAATAAACTGCGCTGGACTTGATTAAACATTATTAACTTCCTATAGGGTAAGTTATAGCTATCGCAAAAAAAACGAAAATGAAAATGTTTATATATCTTTATGTTTTAAATGTTTCTGAACATTTTGGCACACATTAGAAAAAACGGATGTATGTGTGTGTGTGCGTGCGTGTGTGCGGATACAAATTTTCGTCGACAAACACAGTTCAACCGATTTAAATAATTCAAAGAACATTCGATTCCTACTGATACGGAGACGTGCTGATTAGCTTTTGGCTAAGGGAGATGCAGCCGTTTCGAAGATACGGGGCAAAAAGAGCCAGAAATGGTAATTTAGTTTTTGAGAGAACGGAGCGTCCGATTTCAATAATTCAAAAAACATTTTACTTGTGTTGACAAAATGAAGAACTGATTAAATCTTTGAAGAAGACAGGTCTAGCGGTTTCGGAGATCAAGTAAAAAAAGTGCGGTCAAAAATGATCGTTAGACACATGCACATCACAAAAACGGCTACACCGATTTCAGGAATTTAAAAGTATAATTTAATATTTTAAATTTAAGTTTATGTATATTTGATATTTTTTAGGTTCGAATTCAATGCTTCCATTATTTACTTCCAAGGTCTGATCAATACTATAAATATTATAATTCTAATGTCAATGATACACATGAACCTGATACACGGGTGCAGGATTTTGCAAAACTTCTTGTCACGATCGACGATGCTATGGGATTATCACTTGCTCCTAGAAAAGTAAAGGTAAAAAAATTTAATTTCATATTTTGTTAAAATAATGAATCACATAAATTTAAATTTTTATAATTGATTGCTTTGTTCCTTATATAGTACATTTTTGAAGGATTGGGACATTTAGTATCAAAAATTCTAATAAACGCATCTCAATACATGGATCGTATTGATGATGTAGGTATTCGTAAAATGTTTCGAAACGTATTTGCCTTACAGCAAACTCTGAGTAATATCACTATGACGAGGGAGGTGGCTCTTGATTATGCACATCAATACTATGAAATGCTATATTTAGAGCCAGAGGTAAGTTGTTTTTTATTACTTACAGAAAGAACTTGAATTTTAATCAATTCATGGAAATTAGCATGATAATAGACATGTTTGTTAAAAGAGGTTTAATTATAAATTAGAATTATAAAATACCTTGTACAAAATTAGTTATCACTAAATACAAATATTCTTTTGGTAATAGGTATTAACGATAGTAAATTTATCATAAATAAATTTGTTTGTTTTGTTTCAGTATTTATCATATTAAAAAAATAAAAATTCGAATTACTTACAGCGAGTGAAATACCAACAAAAAAATAAATAAAATAAAATGTGATAAATAGAATGTGTTCGAAGAAATAAATTTTCAAATATTATTATGAAAAGCGTAACTTGTAAAGGAAAATTTGTTTAAATATTATTTGAAATTGTTATAAATTTATGCTCGAATTTTAAATACGTTGAAAACTAATATTGTTTACACATATTATTGAAGATACGCATTTATTAATACCTATCTGCAAAAAAAATAATTTATTATAATGTAATAATTTCTCTACACATAGAAATTTTTCTAAACTTTAATTTATTCTTATAATTAAGTTGTTTTATATAGACCTGTAATATTGTAGGTTTTTTTTTTAGAATTCTATCACTCAATTACTGTGTAAAGTTTTATTAAAATCTTAGATGCGTAAACCTGTACTTCTTATTAGGATATAGAGTAATTGATTATAAATATTTTTATAGGAAATTCTTAATGATATTATTGAAAATGGATGTCAATTTACTGAAATAGAATATATTAATGCCATTCAACTTGTACATCGAAGTAGGACTGGAAATAAGGAATCATCTAGTGTTAATACTTATTTACAAAGGTTATCACAAATACTAGGAAATATTGGTGTTACTGTATAATTATTAATAATCATTAATTACAATTATTTAACTTTTTTATGATCAGTATTTATATATTTGCATAATCGTGCATGCACTATATATATATATATATATATATATATATATATATATAATAATGTGTGTGTGCATGCGTAAATTGTTACATTTTAATTCAGATATTTTGTTTGTTCTATTCAATTTTGTACACACAGTAAAACTGAGTCAGTACAGTGATATTTGCTTATTATTAAATCTTTTTTTAAAATTTTTTGAAATTATTTGTACTACAAACTGTAACTAATAAACTGCTTTAACTTTAAGTATTGTTTTATTCACATGCAATGTTTTTGTGCTTTTTACAAATAATTTAGTATTTTGTATTATGCTAACAATTTAATGAGTTTCAATTATTATTATTACAATTAATTCAGAATTATAGATTTGCTTAAATAATTAATTAAAATTAAACTTTAAAGGATTAATATTCAATCATATTTATTTCAAAGATTTCCTTTAATAATTAAATTACTCCACAAATATTAATCTGGAAATTACTATAATTTTGTCTTTGTTAAATGATCATAAGTATAAAGATTTTCATTTTTAGAATAATTTGGAAAAACATTTCTTAATGTTTGTTTGAAACTTAAAATATCGCAACGTACAAAAATAATTTTACATGATAACACATAAAAAAATGAATTGATCGAAAATTGAATTCATGGCGTTCCGTCTTCAATTTGAATTTCAAATCTTAATCGAAAAAAAACAAACCTCGTTTGCATTTTATTTTATGTTTTATATTAATATAAATTAAAAAGTATTTTCTTCAAAAGTGGTGATCAATTTCAAAGCGATAAACAACGGTAACAATTGTAAAATTATAATACTTTTTATTATGGATAATAATTTTTACATATATTACTTACATGTTTACTTATCTATGCTTATCTATGTATTACTGTATTACGTTTACGAACCATATCTAGAAAAAATACCAGCGGTTAATTTACATACTGTATACGTGCTGCCATATTTTGATCAATTCCTTAATTAAAATGGATATAACGCCAAATCGCCAGACATAGCGATCTATTTGTTTATTCATCTATATATCTATGGTTCTTACATTAGTATTTACCATGTTGGCAATGCTAGTGATGGTCTTCTATTTAAAAACATCATAAACATTGCAATTGACAAGAGCGTTCGTTTAGATGTAACATAACCCTAGATATTAAAAGTGTTTAAAAGTTATTTGGTGTTATTATTTTTATATGAGCCGAATTTCTTAAAATATTGTTTATTTTAAATAATCGACTTTTTTAAATTTTATTGCTAAATGACGAATTGACAGTTTACCAGTTACTATTTTAATATCAAGAAATCTGAGAGTGTTTCTATTTTTTCACTGTCAAAATTTATTGGATTTTGGCTCTTCAAAATTGGGCGTTAAATCTGGTTTACAATGGCAGTTACTTCAAATCCATCATCATACGATTCAAGAACGGAATTTAAAATTAAAAATGTACCAGAGGATGTTATATCAGCTCTTAAATTTGGTCCCAGCTCGAACCAATTTCTACTGGTTTCCTCTTGGGATTGCTCTGTTCGTTTATACGATGTTGCAGCTAATAGCATGAGACATAAATATAATCACAAATTGCCAGTTCTGGATGTTTGTTTTAGTGTATGTTGATATATTAATTATAATGGTAAATGTAATCATAATGGCTTAGTACAAATGCAACTGATACATCGCAGCAATTTATGAATTACTATTAACGATTACTAGATATAAATATCAAAATTCACTTATGCGATCATATTATTTTGCTACAAAAGGTATAACAATGAAATAAATTATTTTCATAGGATGCTGTACATTCTTTTAGTGGTGGATTAGATAAAACATTAATTCAATATGATTTCAACACTAATTCTGAGACAGTGATTGGCGTTCATGAAAAGACAATACGATGCGTCGAGTTTGCAAGCGATATAAATTGTGTACTGACAGGTAGCTGGGATGGTACAGTTAAAATTTGGGACACTAGACTTGCTCAGTGTGTTGGTTCCTACCCACAGAGCGATGCAGTATGTATAACTTGTTATTATTAAGTTTTTATTTAATTAATAAAAAACGAATTTACTCCAGTTCATTTTAATATAAACTAATTTACACATACACTTCTTTATTATTCAATTACTAATAAAATAATAAACAGATAAAATTATCTTTGTTTGGATTGAAAATTTAATTGTTTAAAGGATTTGCTATTTCAAACGCTAATGCAAATACTGTATATTATTATTTGTAGCAATTAAATGTATATTGTATGTGCTATTAGATTAAAAAGATGGCATGATAATAATCATAACATAAATACTCACAATCTTTTTTTAGGTTTATACAATGAATGTTGTTGGAGAAAAACTGGTTGTAGGAACAGCTGGAAGAAAAGTTCTTATTTGGGATTTGAGAAACATGGCAGTTTCTCAACGTCGTGATTCGTCATTAAAATATCAAACTAGAGCTATAAAATGCTTTCCAAACAAACAAGGTTATGTCATGAGCTCAATTGAAGGGCGAGTGGCTGTTGAATATTTAGATCCAAACACTGAAGTACAAAAGAAAAAGTACGCTTTTAAGTGTCATCGAGTTAAAGATGGTGGCATAGAGTATATATATCCTGTGAATGCAATCAGTTTTCATACGGGCTATAATACATTTGCAACTGGAGGATCTGATGGTTTTGTGAATATATGGGATGGCTTCAATAAAAAGCGTTTGTGTCAGTTCCATGAATATGATACATCAATTTCTTCACTTAGTTTTAGTGCAGATAATTCGTTGTTGGCAATTGGCTGTTCATACTTAAATGAATTGGAAACTTGTCCTGATCCCATACCAGAGCCGGCAATATTTGTTCGGCATATTCAAGAACAAGAGGCAAAACCCAAAATTATTAAATCAGAGTAAATAAAAAAATATTTATTTTAATCTATTAATAATGAATTTTATAATATTGTAATATTGTGAATGTAAAATAAATTTATTTAATTCTGCAGAATTAAAGATCATTAACATCTTCCATATGATTTAATGCTATTATTATTTATCGTTATTATTAGTTATAGTTACGTGTTTAATATTAATATAGTATATGCATATAATTATTATATATATATATATATATATATATATATATATATATATATATATATATATATATATATATATATTTATAAATATATATATATACTAACGCGTGCTACATCGCTTGGACGGTGTTGCAAGTCCAAGCCCCCGCTTTGGCAATCTGGCATCATCGGGCAGCAGCGATGTTCATTTTTACTTGAAAATATACATCAAAAATCAATATCTTCAAGTGTAAGTTGATATCACTACAGCATGATATTAGGTTGCTCAGAGCGGGGGTTTGAACTCATGTCCCTGTCTCCCCTGTTTCTGTTATATCATCTTATTATTATGTTGCCTGCTGAAAAAAGCAATTGCTTTAATATTTCAATAACTACTTTATTCAATTGTGTTGTGTTGTGTTTTTTTTTTTACCAAAACGCTAAAAAAAATTCCTGTATTTGTCTCGGTTCGGTCCGACTTCCAGTCCAACCGAAAAAATATTCCGGATTGTGGTTCACGATTGGTACAAACCATTGTTCATAATAATACATATAAAAGTTAATGGAAAAATTAGCAATTCTTTCAATTTTTTTTCAATACGTCAGCCAATGCTTGTTATCAAAAATCATCTTGAATGCCGAGAAAAAAAGGAATAACGAAACGACGTTCCGGAGCGTTCGAGCTCGACAACACCACTGATTCTATTATTAAAAAATATTTAAAATTTTGGTTGCACATCCTGCATCTTTTTTATTAAAATTATTGATTTTATTGAACATTTTTTTTGTATTTTATGATTGTTTTTTATGTTAGAAAGTTATTATTTATTGATATTTATGTTATTAATTTATGCATTTATATGATGCTCGTTCAATCAAAATTGATTCTGGTATGATAAACGTGATGGTTTGTGGTGAGTTGCTGATATTTTCTAAATTATCCGGTTATTTCTCAAATAAGGGAAATAAAAAGTTTGCTGAAAGTATTATTGGAAAGACCGGAATGTGATACGTTGTTTATATTAAATTTAAACAATTTTTTTTAACAAGCTTTTATTTTTTATCGTTGATGTAATCATACCCATTATCAATAACTTTTTACCATCTAGCAATATGGAAATTTTTGATGCTGAATCGATAATTTGGACATCTTTTGAATTTGCTTAGAACCCACGTAGACGGTATTTAAAAATGTTGTAGCGATTGGAATAACTATATGCGGTGCGTAAAGCGTAACATTTTTTGTTTCAATTTTTTTTTAAATTTTCTTTTGTATATCGAAAATAATTCAGATTTTAATTTTAATTCTGACTAAAGTTCTAATATACTTTAAACAAATAATTTCATCTTTGCAATTCAGTTTATATATTTCTTATAATTATTAGACAATGTTACAATAATAATCTATTTGAAAACATTTAATATTCCCCGAACATTTTGTTACGGCACGGGAAGTTCCAGCAATTTGCCTTAAGGCACGATGCCATACACCACTAGTTATTATTATATTTATATATTTATAACCCTAGACAATATTATTATATTGTCTAGGGTTTGAAGGTTTGAAGTATTATCATAGTATTATCGCACGTTTAGAGTTTAAGCAGTTTATTTAATTCGCCACTCGCCATAGTGCTCGATATTCTTGTGTTGGACAATGTGGTATTTCATACTTGTACAACTTCATGTTATTATAGTACACTATACACAAATGCATCAGCCCAAACATAAAGGCGTAATAACACATATGCAGCCAGTCGTCGAGAAAATGGCGAACACTTGTTGGACGTTCGCTTCTTGTGCTTGTCAAAAATAAAATCAAATATCTGTGACATGTACTTACATTACGTGTGTTTCACGTGCATTTTAACTTTTATTTTTTGTAATTATTTCAAAGTGCTGCCTTATAGGGTGCATTTAATAGCTTTTGGTGTTTGACCATTGTAGTTTGAATATATATATATATATATATATATATATATATATATATATATATATATATATATATATATCTTTGTTAATGACAGGAGTTTTGTGTTAATTTTTAAAATACTGTCTTTATGATTAATGGACAATGAATAATAATAATTCTGGAGCGTCTGACAAGTAAGTGTTAATTCATAAATATATGAAGAGTTTCTTAGTGCAGTTAAATGCCACATGCACTTAGGATTGTGTTGCCCCCATAAATAAATATTATGAAATTGTAACGAAGGGTTTTGTATTCAAACAAGTGCCAATTTTATATTTTATACTCAGTAATATGAGTCATGGCTGAACTGTTTTTGAGAGCGCATAAAACAGAACTGTCAAATTTTTGCCAATCGTTTGGATCATTAAGCTTCATCAAATGATAATCTTGGTCATGTATAAATAGCTATAAATAAGGAATTTTATAAATAAATAATATATATGTGTGTGTGTGTGTGTGTTTTTATTTTTGGGAATTTTTAAATTTACTACTGGTGAGTATTTTCAAGTGACTTCATTGTAAAAAGTAATACTGTATTAGATTTATATATATATATATATATATATATATATACATTACTTTCTTTATTCCATAATATGCTAAACGTTTCAGCTGTGATTCGTCTCATTATCAGTATAAAATTTAACAGCAAAAAATATATATTGATTTTGAACGGTAACTGTTTAAGATTCTGTCACAAAACTAGACACCATACTGGACATGTGAAATTGTGTGTGTTATTTTTTTTTTTAAAAAAAGCAAGTATATTAAATAAAAAAAGATAGATAGACTTATAGTATAAACACTGGAGAAGGGCTTTGCTTCATAACGTCAACAAATATGAAAAGTAATAAATCAAATGGAAAAATTTGAAATATATGTGTAATAAATAATAGTTGAAATTGTTAATAATATTTATATATGAATTATATAAAATGGTTGTATCAGTTCTTTTAATAATTTACCGTGTTTTTGGTACAAACTATTAACAAAGATTCTGCCATGATGCTCATAATACAAAATTCTAATGATATATATATATATATATATATATATATATATATATATATATATATATATAATGTGTTTGTGTGTGTGTGTGTATGATATATAGTTCACCGATGCTCATTGATTCTGTTTATATCGTCATTTCAAGAACTTGGCCAAATCATAGTTTGGCCGTAAATTTCAAACCAGCAAAACTTTTAGTAATTGTATTTGAATTTGATGAAACTTTTGATACTTATAGGTCCCTTCAAATATTATAGTTCTATGAAAATTGGTTTAAATGAATATTTACTGAAATATAACCGTGTTATTTTGTTTGAATGTCATAATTGTTATTTTAAAAAAATACTATTATATATATTTATATTATATAAATTTTGAAGATAATTTATTCTTGAATATCTATAATGTATAGCAAATATAAAATGTAATATAATACTATAAATGAGTAATAAAATAAAAATGAGCATTGAAAAAGTAGTTATCAAATATATAATTAAATATTTTCCATTTTGTCATTTTTAATTTTGTTTTTTCATTTCATCTTTACTAACTGCAATTTGGAACAACAATTTGCACTGATAGAAGTGACACGTATTTTAATAAAACCTCATAAGTTTCATTCTAATAAGATTCTTGCGACCCCTTAAAAATTGTTACTTGTGCATTCTTTGTATGGGGAAATGTGCGCTTTCCTGTTCTTTTACAAGTGAAAGGTTCATTATTGGAGCCGCTCTTGTTATGCCCCCTTAAGAATTAAGTACCACAAGGTTGGCTGAATATTCAGCCTCTAACTGGTATTTTTCCAGACTGTTTTCTTTCTTCGTAGTGCGAGAGATACTGGTACTACTTAAACATGGAATTGTATGAACTTGAACATTGAAATTTGTAACTGCATCCATGAATTTATTACTTCTCTTATTTTTTATCTTATTTTTTTTATTCTCTATTATATTTACAACCGTCCAGCTAAGGACATTCAATAAATTTGGGGAATTTACAATTGTCAGCCGTAAAGGGACATTGTATACTAAATGGGCATGTTGGAAAAACAACTCAATAGTTATTAACAACATTTTATTGATAATTATATAATCTTAACTATTTACTTATAAAATAGTTTCTTATAAATAATTACTAAGTTAATTCAATTTTTATCTGGAGAGTTCATGGATTTAAGATCCAGTGGCGCTTTTCTTTTCAACCTTTGTCGATAGTTCTCTGTTATTAAGGAGTTTGCTATTGAATTTGGGTGACTGATGAGCTTGTTTCTATATTTATGTGCTATTTTGTTACTGCGTCTTTTATGGTATTAGCCAGTTCGGGCTATAATTTGGTGCTCCTAAGGCAATTTTCAAAAATTTGTTTTGAAATTTTTGTATTATTTCTATATTAGTCTTAGAAACTTACTTGAATTTTGTATAGTTACGCTTAAACTGTTAATTCGATTATGTCGTAACATATTATTGTATTAAAATGGATCTGTAGGATGTTTTCTACTTTTAATAATTTTACATTTTAGCGATAGCCAGCTTTTTATGATTTGGTATTACTGTTTATTTTATATCTAGCATATACACATGCTTTGTAATTTTTGCCAACATAGCATCGATTTTTCTCTTATTTTTACGAAAATCAACTGAAAAGTAAGGGAAAGTCAATGTTTTAACTTCCCGTAGGGTAAGGTAGAGTAATAGACCGAAAAACGAAAATGAAAATTTTTGCATATCTTCACGTTTCAGAGGTTTTTGAACATTTTGGCATACCTGAGAAAAAATGGATGTGTGCGTGTCCGCATTTTTTCGTTCACGTTTCAATGGTTCAAAAAAACATTCGATTCCCATCCGAAATTAAAATCCGAACAGTTTTGATATTTAAAAATAAATTTGGAAATGAAAAGATTTTTTTTTATTTTGAAATAAAAAAATGTCTTTTCCAAAAACTAATCGTTTCTCCACAAGCATTATGTTTTTTGAATCATTCGAACAGGATGCTTTGTTCTCTGAAAAACTGCTATTTTTACACTTTTAGCTCTTTATTTCTGAAACGGCTGGGCCTGTCTTTGCCAAATACTAACCAAACTTAATTTAATTAACTTCCCGTAGGCCAAGTTATAGTAATCGCAAAAAAATCGGAAATGAAAATTTCTATATATCTTTGTTTCAGAGGTTTCTGAACATTATGGCATACCTTAGAAAAAATGGTTGTATGTGTGTGTGCGGATACAAATTTTCGGCGACGATTTCGGGAACACCGATCAACCCATTTGAATAACTCAAAAAGCATTCGATTCGTATTTATAAGGAGACGTACTGATTAGTTTTTGGAGGAGGCAGGTCCAGCGGTTTTGGACTCAATAAAAATAAGTTAAAAAATGCCATTTGGCGGTCAAAAATGTTTATTGGACATATGTATACATTAAATTGTCACATATTTTATAGAGATTTTAATATTGTGTACACATTTTGTGTAAATTTTTTGGGTTCCGTACCAAGATTTTTATTTTTGAAGTTTATTTATATGGTTCAAACAAATGTCCTCGACATTTTCGACAGTATGGAATAACCGACTTATAAAATTGAAAAATAATTTGCTTCGTACTCGATCGCTAGGCGTTTTTGCAAAAGGCGTACGGGAAGTTCCAGCAATTTGCCTTAATGCACGATGCCATGCGCCTCACTAGTTTCCATTTTGCTTCGTATTTCGGAATCGGCTGATCGACCTTTTCCAAAAACTGGTCGCACTAAACCCCATAAGTCGGTTGAACGGTGCTCCGGAAAACGTCGACAAAAAATTATATCCATCCACACATACATCAATTTTTTCCGAGGTATGCCCTCAAATAAATGCTCAGACCCTTTGAAACGTTTTTGCATTTTAAAAACAAATTATAATATTTTTGTATAAATTTTAAATATATGTACAAATTTTTTCTTGCAACTTTTTGGGTTCTATAATAGCGTAAAAATTTATGTTTGATTTACTTTAAATTCACATTAAACAAATTTTACTTATATCAAATATCTAATATATTAAATAGCGTTTTGGAGATTTAAGCAATTAATAGTATTTGCTTTTGACTAGATGCATGGTGTTTCTCATCAAAATTATAGCCAATAAATGATACTAATAAATAAAATAAAAGACGAGAAATTTTAATATTCACCCAATAATATTAAAAGTATAATTTTAGGTAATATTTTTTGTTCTGGACTTTGTACCATGAATACAGTTTTAGAATTTGCATATAAATTCATCTAGTTGAAATAATGATGTAACTTATGACTGGATCATCTGCTGTCAATTATTGAAGTTAGTTTAAAAGTTGTTTCTTCTATGATTTTGTTACTGATAGGAATGTTGTAAATGAAAGATGATGTAAATGAAATTAATGCTCGTACAAAAACATTGACCGACACCACCGTAAAATTTTTATCAAAATATTGAATGTAGTGTGATAATGTATGTTGATATTTTATATTTTACATTTGATTGATCGCGATTATTCAATCTTCACAATGTTTATGTAGTAAAATGTAGAGGTTTATATGTACATAAGGGCTCGCTCGTAGGTAAGCGGTTAAGAGCGACGGGACTTGTTTCAGAGGTCCCGGGTTCGATACCCACTTCGAGTAGCCTGTTGTCAGGCAGCAGTGACAACGATTTTCACTTGAAAATATAGATAGCAATATGTTTCCAAGTGAAAATAGCCCTTGCCCGGCATTGCTGCACCAATAAAATGTCAGCCCTATTAGATTAATTCTAATAACAAAATCATCAAATATGGGTGGATTAACCATTGGGTTACCACCTAAAAAAATACGTAGTAAGGAGAAGTTTCAGCCCAACAGCTCATAGGACGTAAGGTTCTGATTGCTGTTCAATAATAATAATAATAATAAAAAATATATTTACATATGTTATGTTTATTAGTAGTAATAATATTTAAATTTTCAGTAGATCGATGTCAGCCTTGTCATTGAACAACGGTTCGTTTCGCCGTTCGCTCGGCAGTACGGGCTCATCGGTACCTAATACTCCTGTGCTATCTATTTTTTCTTCCACCGTTATTGTCAACAAAGATAATGCAGGCTATGGAATGAAGGTAACGATAAATTCATTTTTTTTTCACTTTTATGTTATTTTGAAATTAAATGTTTTCTGTTGTAAAATACAGGCTTAATATTTTTTAATAGAATTTGTAGGTTACCATATATACTACATTACTATATAGTCCTGTAGGTTACTATATATACAGTGTAGCGTAAAATAGAGTTGGTGTATATGGTATATATGTAGAGTTAATGATTTCCTCGTATCTATATCCCTCGATGCGTACGCTCTTGAGTCGTATTGCTATTGCACAAACGAAAGCTTTTCACAGCAGAATTTTAGACCAATTTTTCTCTTGGCGGTAGTTTCCAATAAAATGATTTAACACAAATTTTTGTGATCTTATGGAATCATCCAAAATTTAAAGGTAAATTACAAAAGTTTTACACAAGTTGTTTTGTTTGTTTAATGATCATATATTTAGTCTTATTATCAGTTATATCTTCTATTTGATATTAAATATAATATATTTTATATTAAGGCGGATCAAATTGTGTATGGAGCCGAAAAAATTTATTGACTTTGCAATTCTAGTTCTATTTTCGAAGAAGCCACGGTTAGGAAATGAATTCCGGGCCATCGAACTTTTCTTTGTTTTTTATCCATATCCGTAAATATCAACGAACAAAAAAATCAGTTTGTACGAGGGTTATGTGAAAAGTAAATTTCTCTTTTTTTGAGTTTGCAACATGGTTTATCAATGTAAGGTCTTTTCTTTGCCTATTTTTCAACATAATCACCTTCTCTGTCAATACATTTTTTATCCTTTTAATCCAGAAAGCGAAAACAGCTATCAACTCCTTCAACGGGGCTGTCGGCGAAGCCCTTCGCGGCGGGCAAGGGGGCGTCCATTAATCACGTGAGCGAGTTTTTAAGGATTTTTGGACCTCCCTTCCCCTTGGTGATATTTGGTGATATTCAAAATTACCCCATCCCACCAAACATCACGTGTATTTTTAGTTACGTGAAAAAACTGTATTTTTTTTAAATGTTTGAACTTTTTTAAAAAATAGTTAAAAAATAAATACACGTGATACTATACGCCTCTCCCACGTGATATTTCGTGATTTTTTTTGTTAAAACCCCCTCCCCCTAAAAATCTCACGTGATTAATGAACACCCCCCTATCAAAATAGGATTAAGAAGATCAAAAAATGTATTGACGGAGGTGATTACATTGAAAATTACCTCTCTAATGATATATGACAAAACATTAAAAAACTATTTTGTGAAAGTTACTTTTGACATAACCCTCGTAATAAACTTATCAGGAATTTGATGAAATTTTACATGGTGATATAGTTGGCAGTCAACCTGTTGAAATATTATAGAATTATGAGAAGTGGTTTAAATATAAAATTTGACTAGAATATTGAAAAAATAGGGTGTGTGTTCAACCAACGCCTACATGATTTTCTAGCAATGTGTTCGGACGGCCCTGTACTTAAGGGTACTCGTAACATTAAAAACTCTTGTTTGCATGTTCGAATTCCGCCTGCATATACATTTTTTTAAAACCATTTTTCATAGGTCTATAATATTCCATAACGTTTTCTCCAACATTTCTATATATATATATATATATATTCGTCGTGGCGAAGATCGTTAACGCGTTGACTTTGGCAATCTGACATCGGGCAGCGCGATGTCTATTTTTAATTGAAAATATAGATCAAAATATGTTTCCAACTCAAAATAAGCCCATCTCGGGCACTGCGGTGTTGAATGAAATGGGAAAAACTCTCACACTACTTCTTCCCTGAATCGAGTTCGAGTTTAACTCAGCTCACAGACCTGACCTAGGGCAGTACTACCCATTTATTATTATTATTATAATTATATTATATATATAATATTTATTGGGATGACTATGTGTATATGTCTGTGTTTGATTTTTAGTTTGTTTTTTTTTATTTTGGATCCTAACATTAAACTAGTTGGTATTGGTATTTAGCCTTGAGGCAAGTTACATGAACATCCCGATATATGTAAATAATCGATACCAAGCGATACCAATTTTTGCAAATTTTGACGAATTTTCAAAGTTAAACCAATTGTTGTAGGGCCGTAATATTTTAGTATGATCTAGAAGACTATAATATCTACCGTCAAAAAAATAATAATAAAAATCGTCGAAAAATTTTTTTTAACACTTTATTACAAGAAAATGGCCCGGCCGATTTTTACCAAAAACTAATCAGCACGATTCCCAATCAATATCTTTCGAACGGTTTTTGAATTTTCATAATCGGTTCAGAATTGCGGGCTAAAACGTGGACGAAATGTTTTTCACTTTTCTGCTATTTATGAAGAAACGTCTCGGCCGATCGTTCCACAAAATTGACAAACGATAGTCTTCGTCGAGATACATCGAATGGCTTTTAAATTTTTGAAATCGGCCCAGCCGTTTTCGAGAAAACGTCGATTTACGGCAAAAAATCTGTTCACACACACACACTTTTTCCAAATTTGGTCTCATTCGATTCAGAATGGCTTGAAACGTCGAGAAAACATAAAATTAGCGAATCGGATTTTTTGATGAAAACATAAACCTCTCCTTCGGGAAGTTAAATATTTGATATATTGGCCAATTGATATATAGTTATTTCAAATATCTTTGTAGTAGTTGAGAAAGGCTTGAATAAAGGCATTTTACACAATTATTAACAATAATACACTATAATATAATATAACACACTACAATGAAAATGTTCGCCAGCAAATTTTATACACTTCAAAATATAAAAGCTAAATTTGTAAGTGTTTACCTTAGTTTCTCGCCATTGAAGGCATTTTCAAATCAATAGTATCGACTGATGATGATACTGAAAACAATAAATATTATTATGGTAATTGTTAAAAACTTATTCCGCTATGCGCTTTGTCAGATATTTGAAAATTCACGCATGACGCACTTTTGATTCGGTTGGAATCTAATAAGGAATTCAATAATAATTTTGGTAATTATTGAAACAAAGCAATTCTCGAATTATGCAGCTTTGTACATATTTAGTATGTACGCACATACATACTAAATAAGCTGTTAGATTTTTCAAATAAAATATCTTGTTTTAAAATACGAATTCTTATTCATTTTATGCGTAGGTATCTGGTGATAAACCTGTATATGTGCAGAGTGTAAAAGACGGTGGCGCAGCACAAAGAGCAGGTCTGCATAGTGGCGATAAAATAATAAAAGTGAGTTTCATATGAACATGATGTATTACTTATCAATACATCATTAGACATTGTTTTAAAATTTTATATTTTCCAGGTCAACGGCGTGGATGTGACACATTCTACTCATACGGAAGTTGTTGCACTAATTAAAGGTATTTTTTTTATTATTGTCTGAAATGATCTAAATATCATTAATAACATATGATAAATATATTATTAATAAACACAGTCAAAAGAAACTATTGATATGGGCGTATTATTATGCGTAATTAATCGGGTCAATATATTAAATTTTTAATTTGTATTCCTTCATTTTGTTTACTTATCATTGAAGTAATGCAAAAAAGTCTTTTCTCAACTCACATTTTGTTGTATCCATAAAATAAAAAAACACTATTCAGTTTTGAAATAAAAGTAACATAAAACATTTTTGGGAACTGCTGCCAAATATTACTTGTTATATGTGGTATTATTTTTCGAGTTACTATTTACACCAATATATAAGTGATGTTAAATGTAGTACTGTTTCAAATAAAATGATTATTCTCAATTCCCACAATTAACACTTCAATTATCCTTTTAATAAATATTAAAATATGCTCCATAAAATTATATATTAATAATTATACACTGCGATTTATAGAACAAATTTATTTTCAATAGCTCAATTTATTTTATTGAATTTAAGGGTTATACAATATTTTTAGACATACCTGAGATGTGCCAGAAATTAAATTAATATAAGATGCAAATAATATAACATGCGTCTGACAGTCGGCGCATACGTCTGACGCGCACGGCGAATCGTGTTCTCAACGTACGCGTGGTTCGTGATTTGCTTCTGCTTGCAATAATTTTGTTTGCGCTTTTGCGAACAGATTCGCCGTACGAATTCGTGCAAAGGAGACGAGCCATAAGTGATTGCGCTCAAAAATATTCAATTTGCAGTCGTTTTGCCTTACTATACTAACAAGGAGAACCCGCGCATTGCTCGTCTCGGATTTTGATGAAATTTGGCGCAGTTGTAGATTTTATGCCCAAACTGACCATGGTAAAACATTAGAGGCCTATGAAAAGCGGTTTAATTATAAAAATTAATTAAAGTTTGCATTTTAGCAGCGTGCTATACCATAGCGCTACACATAGCTTGTAACGTGCCCTGTTATCAGTTCAGTCGTAGCCTAGTGGTAAAGTGACTGAATTCTCATTTTTGCGTATGCTTATGCGTATCGTCGGAGGATCGAATCCCGTTCATGTTAACTTCTTTTTTTATTATTTTTAATTCGAATTTATAATTGCATGAGTAAATAATATTAAAGTTTTCGTGAGTTTTTAATTAATTTCAAAGCCAGTTAAAATATGGTACAAAATTATAAAAAATTGTAGGCAACATTATTGAAGCAATTATTTTGGGTAGAAAAATCCAAGGTGATATTGTACCTTGACCGCGCATGCTATATATTAATTTTTTCTGAATTTGTTATACTTTTTAAAAGATTTCAATTTTCAACGCCTGTGGCAGACGATGATTTTTGTGTGATAAATTTGGAAAATCAATGGTTTAGCCGCGAATAAACAAAAAATCATTCATTTAAACATCATATATATATATATATATATATATACATATATATTCTTGTGCTTCCAGTTCTCTGTATTTTCTCTTCCGGCGTAAGTCATCAACCCCAATCCTTTCAGTCCTTCTATATTGCCTTCGTCGTGTAGGAGAATGGGAATTTTTTTTGCAGAATGGGTCCGATCCAGTTTCCTTTTCTTTTCGGGATTGTGCTCAGCGTGGCTTTTCCCACTCTTCTCTGAACTTCTTTGTTATCTTGTCTGTTCACTTTATTTTTTCCGTTCGTCTCCAGCATCACGTTTCAAAACTCTGCAGATAGTTCTTGTCGGCCTTTCTTAGAGTCCCTTTCTCTGATATTTACAGAGCTATGCTCCAGACTTAACACTTTATTAGTCTCTTTTACAAATCGAGACTCAGTTCGCTCGGCAGTAGCGTTTTTATTTTCGTAAATGTCGCCCTGGCGCTTGCGATCTCTGTCCTGATCTTTCTCGTGCAGTATCCGTCTCTGGTCAGAATGCTTCTTAAATATTTGAAATGATCAACGTCTTCCAATTCTCGATTTTCTACTGTTATATTCAGAGGATCGCCATGTTTTGATACCCTCATCACTTTTGATTTGTCGATGTTGATCTCCATTCCGTATCTTCCGCCCACTTAAACTATTCTGCTTACTATGTTTTGTAGCTTGGTCTTGGTTTTCGATATCACCACGATCATCGGCGTACTTTATGGTGGTGATTCTTCTTCCTCCAATCGAAAAATATCCTGCGCCTTCGGATCGGTGACATGCAGCATCCTTGTCGCACTTCTCACCCTATTTTAACGTTGTTTGTGTTTCTTTGATTCACTCGAAACTTCACTTTCTGTGTCATATAAAGATTCTGGATCTTTCTGTTTAATATATGCCAATAGCCTGATTCTGCCCCATAAGTGTTCACAAAATTCCAATTCACTCTGTCAAAGGCTTACTGCCGATCTATGAAGCAAAACCAGATGTTCTCGTTAACGTTGAAACATCTGTCCGACATTATCTTCAATACTCCAATGGCGTCTCTGGTGCTTCTTCCTTTTCTAAAACCAAACTGGTCTTAGAAAAGGAAGATCTTCGCTCATGAGCTGCTCGATCTTATTTTCTAGTCGTCTCGTAACGATTTTGGCCAGAACCTGTCCTGTGTGCGAAGTCAAAGTGATCGTTCTGTGGTCGCTGCACTTATTTGCTTTGGGCTTTTGGTGAAGAGCTATCATCGTGACATTCAAGAAGTCTTTTGGTCATTCGTCCGTTTAGTTTATTTGGTTCACAAGCTCTTTCAGCAGGTCCGCCGGTATGTCATCAAAAATCGCTTTTTTGAGGAATTTTTAGGGAAGGAGATAAATATTTAATTGAAAACGAAACTTTCAGGTTTTATTATTATATATTTCAACATTTTTCTCAAATTATCTTCTCATTAAAATATATGTCATAATATGCCTGGCGCTACGTCGTGCATGTATTGCAATTTCCATCCGAAACAAAGTGGCATCGTGCCTTAAGGCAATTTGCTGGAAATTTCCGTACTTTAATGAAATATTCGAGGAATATTAAATGTTTATTATTATTTAACAGATTATTATAAATAATATAACTTTCATTATGCTTATTTTATAAAAAGTAAAAAACAAAACTTAATCAATTGGATTTAAAATGACGAACATTGTCTAATATTTCTAAGTATTATATAAACTGAATTGAAAAGTTAAAATTATTTATTTGAAGTATAGAAATTTAACTAGAATTAGAATTAAAATCCGAATATACAAAAAAAAAATTTTTTGAAAATTATAAATATAATTGAATAAAAAAAAATCTTTCCTCAAAAGTAATTGCTTCGTCAACGCAAGCAGATTTTTTTTAAATCATTCAAATCAGATGCTTAATTCTCTCAAAAACTGCAATTTTTTGCACATTTAGCTCTATATCTCTGAAACGGCTGGACCTGCTTTTACCAAAATTTAATCACCTCATTCTCCCCATCATTACGAATCGAATTCTTTTGGTTCATTTACATCTGTTGATCCGTTCTCTTAAAAACTGACATTTTTAGCACTTTTTGCTCCATATCTCCGAAGCCACTGGACCTGTCTTTGTCAAAAACTAATCAGCACGTCTCCTCATCAATAGGAATCGAATGTTTTTTTAACCATTCAAATCGGATAAATCGTACGCCCGAAGTCGTTGACGAAAAATTGTCTCCACACATACACACACACACGACTTGAAGTAAAATTTATTTTCGATTTTTGGCCCATTACTATAGCTTACCCTACGGGAACCATAACAAGTTCATATTTTCAATAGTATAGATTCTAGTTAAGCCTAAAAAATACAGAAAGAAGTGAGATTTTTGTCAAATTTTTCGCAACATAAAATAAAATCATGTTTTTTGATAAAAAAAAACTTTAGATTGTTTAAAAAGTGGGTTAATTATAACTTTTTATTAAGGTTTTTAGGTTCAACTAGAAGATAATTTAATCCTGAATACAATCAATTTTGTCTGGTTTCGACAGGATGTTCAGTATTTTTCCTATCTTTCCCGCGGAATCGGGAATTAGGTATTAGGTAAAATCGAAGAAATAAAAATCCGAAGCGCCGAAGTTTTTGTTTTGCTCAACACTTGCTTACTATTTTTTCTATAACTTCGAAAATAATTTGAATTTGTTTATCAAATTTTAGTGATATATTCTTGGATAGTTTTGGAAGATATTTTTTCAAGCATTCAGATTGATTAGATAGCAGGTGTACGAGAATTAACATAAAAATTACATTAGAAATATATATATGATAACATAATATAATATAATATGATAATATAATAAAATTATATTATTAAAATATATATGATAACAAATAAAATCTTAGCAAATAAGGACCATGTTTCAAATTGTAGCAAATGCGCAAGTAGTATTAACGGTACAACAGCGGGTTACGTGTGGCGACATGTGCTCAACGCGCAACATCCAATCTGCTACAGTTACGTCGCCAAATAACAATACCATTTCCAGCGGAAGAGCTGGCATAACTGCTCCTCGACCTGTCGATGTAAGTGTTATTTCATATAAATACTTCATTTGTGACTCGATAATCTTCATTCAATTACAATATTAAGTGTTGGATTTAATATCTTTCTTTTTATTTTTACTTAAAACTTTAACCATGTACAGATACTAATTTTAATTTGCAGAATGAAAAAATGCGACAACTTGAATTGCATCGTATACAAACATTACGCATGATGCTAGAAGAAGAGCAAAAGCATCTGGCGACTTTACGAAGTAAACCTGGAAAACGCCAAGAGATACAACGAGCAGAAGCTCGTGTTCATACACTTCAAGAACAGTTGAAAGCCCTTGATACTGAGGTATATATAATAATAATAATAATAAATGGTAGTCTGCCCGAAGGCAGGTCCATGGTGTGAGAGCCACCACAACAAATGATTTCCTTGCCCTTCATCCCATAACCTATTTATCTTTATTAAATAAATAAAGAGGTATATATATATATATATATATATATATATATATATATATATATATAAAGAGTAGTTATTTTGAAAAAGTATAAATACAGTTATAGAGGACATAGCATCAGCAAAGGAAAATATTTTAAAACATTTAAAATATTCAATGACATTCACATTTTTGCACCCGAATTGTTGAAATTAGAAACGATAAATACTTGGAATTATTTATTTTGTATGTTTTGACACTAATTTTCTGTGTGTTTCATCAATTATTTACTCTCTATGTATACATTATTTACCATAGAATTTTATTGTTTACTTGTAACTTAAAATAGGAATTTCATTAATTGTTACATTTGCTTTGTTGTTTCAGGGATCTCTTGCTTTATCTCCTACTAATGCCGCTCAATCTGATAACACCACAACATCTCATTTTAACCCTCACTTTTTATCCCGTTTTCCGAGAAGTTTGAGTAACTTGAGCCTGGGTGGACGTGCCAAGAAAAATGAAAAGGATGACAATAACCGTAACAAACCTGAAAAAAATGCTAAAAATCATCAAATGCAACAGGACAAACGTTGTTTTTCAGACGAAAAATGTGATATACGTGAGGGTCACGCTAGTGTGGTTATAGACGCGCCTCCACCTTTGCCTCAGCGGAACAAAAACATGATGGACTGGTTGCAGGAACAGACTTCTGTGGATAATTTCACTGATTTGGATCTGTCAATAGATGATAATACAAAACAGATTCTGAACTCTTTTTTGGAACACGAACGAAATCCATTTGTTAGTGATGTGAATAATACTCCGCCACCGTTACCGCCTAGGCAAGATCGCCCCCTTCCAAACTCGATAGACACTGTTATGAATCATCCCTTAGTCTCAACATGTGCTCCAGCTTTATGTGATAACATTACCGTAAGTGACTTTATGTTGTTGACATGTTTGGAAAACCATTGAAATTATATTTATTTATAAAGAGTCTAATGATCAGGCGTAAAAACAAAAAAAACATACTAATTTGAGTTTATTTTGAATTTATATGTTTCGGCCATCAGCTTTACTCTTCATTATTTTCAAATCATGCTTTTTATTTATGTTAGACTCCCGATCATTACTCTTTTAATACATGTGCCAACATGAAATTCAGTATTATACACAAGTATATATTTAATAATACAAATTAAATTGATAATTTTTTGTCGTAATAGAACCCTGCTTTACAAACAAAGTCGGCTAAATCGGGTCATAAACGTACACAATCTTCTTCAGATCCGGTTGTGATATCACCTAGCAACTGCGGTAAATCAAAATTTAATTATTTGTTATTTAATTTTTGTTTATATTGTTCTTATTTATTGTTTTATTTTTTGATTATTCATAAGATTCAAGTTAAACTATTTTGTCTTAGAAGTTACTATCCATTCTTTTTTTTTTCAATAGCAGAAAGACAAAGTAAGAGTTCTAGAGGATCTTGGGGTCATCCAGAAGCTACACCGCCGGGTACACCTCCTCCACCATATCCATCATTAACTAATGCAGATGAGGTACATTAAGTATTGCCAATGTTCTTAGAAATTCAACTTTTTTTAAATGTGGATACCAAGCATTTGTTTATTGATTTATTTCTCTAAATATCTTGTAGTTATATTTTTGTGTATAATTGTATAATCTATAAATATTTATTTCAGGAAATAGCAGATGCATGGAATTTTCAGTTTTGTAACTCTATTACAAAATCGGAAGATTTGCATGACAGAAAAGGAACCTTAACTAATACATCTGACTCAATACAGGCAGCACAAAGTGTTACGTCGCAACAACATATTATTTCCATGGAAGATGAAGAAGTCTCAGACTCAGAGGTATTTTATACTCACATTATGAAGTATATATTTACAATGTACTTTCTTAAAATTAATTGACATAATGGTGCTTGAACAACAAAATAATAATTTTGATTTTTTGACGTTTGTTCAAAAATTTTAGACAACTGTGGAGGAACATGGACCTTTTAAATCATTACGTTTGTTACTGGAGCATCCGGGCCACGTTGCTGTATTTCTAAATTATTTGTTCACTAATGCACAGCCAGCATCATTGCTTTTTTATCTTATCACAGATATATACAGAGATGGAAATCTAAAAGATATGCGAAGATGGGCTTATGAAATACATTCTACCTTTTTAGTGCCTGGAGCAGTAAGTCTAACTATTATACTACATTTTTTAGCTTGGATTTTTTTATAAAAATAAGATCAATATTTTAGCCTTTACATCTTCGTAATGTAGATGAAACTATGGCAAGAGAAATAGATGATGTTTTGCTTTATGAATCTGATAAGGAAGAAATTTTAAGAAAAATATTTTTAAGGGCTAGAACAAAGTAAGTGGGCAATATTTTCTTCTATATATATATATATTATATATATATATATATATATATATATATATATGTCTGTACGTACTTGTATACATATTACTACATTAGTATTATAATATTGCAGAGCTAAGGAAGAACTTACAGCACAGCTAAATCACTTCCAAGTGACAAGGACAGTTGGTTTAGGAATGATGTTTGGGCCTAATGATATTTCACTTGACACTGCCATTGGCGATAGGTCTAAAGAAATTCGAGTAATTGAAATGGCTTTATTGTCAAATTTGGAATCATATTTGTAAGTGAAATAACCATTAATATAATCATGGATTTACAGTGCATTTCATTGACTGGCATACATTCGTTATTACAGAGAAGACTTGGATTCAAATAAAGAAAATGTTGATTATAAGCGGTATGCAACAGCACAAGCTTTGGCCACAGTTCTCTTACGATGGTTTCGTATATCACTCAATTCACAGTATTTGTCATCTTCAGTCTTAGAACGATGCCCTACATTTGTTAGCAAAGAGAAGACATTCAGAGGCAAGCTTATTGGAAAAAGTAGAAAGGTAGGCGTATAGGTTTATTCAAGAAGTATCATAAATTTTGAAGATTTGATGTAATGTGTGTGACATTATGGTCGTTTTGTAGTACACTTATGCCAACAATATTGGGCATTTTTATTATCTCACAATGTTTTTTTTTTTTTTTTGATTATATTCTGTAGAGTTGCTTGGAATTCTACATAGTCTGATTTACATAATCTCTCATTCGAATTATCAACTTATACTTTTTTCAATATTAATAATATTTTTCCACCAAATGTTAATCTAATGACTTTACTCAGTTATCAATTTTTAGTTGTTTCACAATCATATTCAAAAGAATTAAATGTATTTACTGGAATTTCAATTTATAGCATTAGAGTAAATGCAACATCGCTCTTTTTTTTTTTTGACCAAATAAATGCAGTGAGGTAATTGTTTTTATTTTTTCATAGTTGGTGGTTCGAGAACATCATTTACTGTTCCGGCAATATTATATTGTAACACATTGCAATCAGTGTCATGATATCATATGGGGAGTTGGACCACAAGGATACCATTGTTCTGGTATATGTTTATTATAATAATTGCTTTTATTGTTTTATATGTTTTTTTCATTTCAATTATTCTGCTTTTTTTTTAATCGAATATTTTTTCAATATTTCAAAATTGCATTTATGCAGTAGCTATATCAAATTAGCAGATTCTTTACATAAACTATATTTTGGTAGATTGTGGACTAAATATCCATAGAGGTTGCAGTCGAGTTCTCGAGGAGGATTGTCCTGGCCCTCCTGTCAATACGAATTCCAAATCAAAACAAAATCAAACGGATCGACGAATATCTAAACTTATGGAAAAGATAAGACCTAACCATCATTTTATCAATAGTAAGTTTTACCATATATATAGATACTTCAATAGACCAACACCCCCACTAATTCGAGACCCTCGCGACCGAAGGGCTGGCATTTTTATTTTTGGAAATATTTCCTTTGTGGAACTTACTTTTTCATTATAATCCGACGCTACTGTATATATGTATATAAATATGTATATATGTATATATATATATATTTTTGAATATTCTTGAATTTGATGTTGATATATATGTTTAATTTGAGTTTAATATTCGGGCGTAACATCAATAAAAATAGTATGAGTTTTTTTTTTTTAAATTTATTTATTTAAAATCCATACGTTTCGGCTAGCATCTTAGCCATCATTCAGTGGTAATCAAGTTAAAATTTTGTATCCTAATATAGCATATGAAACCATTATTAATCCATGGTATGAGTATGTGCACATTGATAAGATATGTATTTTTTAACACAAACATCACAAATGGTAAAACACACTAATAATCATGATAACTTGACAAGTTGTCGAAACTATGTATTTACTCTTCGGAGTTTAGGATAGAAATCCATTTCTATCCTAAACTCCGAAGAGTAAATACATAGTTTCGACAACTTGTCAAGTTATCATGATTATTAGTGTGTTTTACCATTTGTGATGTTTGTGTTAAAAAATACATATCTTATCAATGTGCACATACTCATACCATGGATTAATAATGGTTTCATATGCTATATTAGGATACAAAATTTTAACTTGATTACCACTGAATGATGGCTAAGATGCTAGCCGAAACGTATGGATTTTAAATAAATAAATTTAAAAAAAAAAAAAACTCATACTATTTTTATTGATGTTACGCCCGAATATTAAACTCAAATTAAATATATATATATATATATATATATATATATTAAAATTTAATATATACAATATTTATTTAATTATACAGGTATTATTCTCAAGAGAACTTCTATAAAAATGCCGATAATAAATAATGCGTGAATACAAGATGGTAATATAGGAGATATGTTCCAAGGCGACAAAATAAAGAAAAATTAACATTAATTTAAGTTTTAAGTAATTGTAGTTTTTTAACATTCTGATTAATTATGTTCTGATTAAGAGAATGATTTGAAGAACTTTGTAATATGTTCGGCAATTTTTAACAGTTTCTTCAATTCAAATTTATACTCGCCTGAGAAATTTGTCTCTTAAAAGTTCCAAAGATCATTTGATATTCATATAGAAAACGTACAGATGATGTGCATTTTAAAATGTTTGCTAAGATTATTCAAATTAAATGTTGCGTTTTTATTGTTGAAGCAATTGAATTGCTCTTTTTCAATAAACTGGGAATGTTTTGTATCATGTCATTTTGAGTCAAATTTCACTATAGAGGAAACAGCAATTTTTAAAAATTTATTTTATTTATTGAGTAATTAATAAGATCATTTTTATTCTCTTTGCTTATATTCCCAAAAAACACCGATTGCGTGGAAGACGGCTATAAAGATTTTCATATGTCAGTTTTTATTATTAGTTCAAAATGACGGCATTTACAAAAAATATTGTGTTGTGGGATATATTTTGGAATCCGCGTGGTGGGTATCACTTAGATAAATTAATTATTTAGTCGATTGTAAGCTAGAATTATTTCGTCACCATAAGAAAGTGAACAAAAACTACTTTGCGACATATATTGATCTAATTACAAGCTTCTTCTCTTATTTCTTTTGCTAGGCTCTTTCGAAATCTTGACTACCGCGAATAACGAAATTTCCATCCGTGAATATAGGAATTAGTCGCAGTTTTTCGGCCGCGAATAGCAAAAGCGCGAATAAGGAACTTCTGCTCTATATATATTCATTCCACTCCTAATACTTACATAATATTTTCTTATATTTTTACAGCTGAGAAACAGCAGCGCATGCAAGAGGAGGATACCATTGAAGAATTTCCTGGATCTAATGGTTAGTTTATTATTAATAACATGGTTTATACATTTAAATTTTTAATTTGTTTTTTGCTGTACCAAAGGGCAAATTTTAATTATTATGTTTTTATTTGGCTAAAATGTTTTTATTGATGTAGAATATTATGATTACACCAAATACAGGCAAGCAATAATTATACCTATTTATTGTTAATAATTATTATCAAAGTTATTTTTTATGAAAATTAAAAAATGTATTCATTCAACCAGAATAATGAGTTCTGTTTATGATTGATTTTAATTTTCATTTTTAATAACTATTCTGACTATTTATTCCAAAGCTGCTGATCGTCCGTCATCAATGTTGTTGAGCAGAAATACTTCGCAAAGGGGTAACTCTTTATCGACACCAGAGAAGGGAGAGAGTGCTGATGACAGTCATTGCTTAATAGATGAAGTACAAAATGAAAAGTAAGTTTGCCACATGTCAAACCGAGTCTTTTTTTAAATTGACAAAACATATTCTTTCATGTTGTATATTGTGTCATCATCATGATGAATCTTTTTGTGTGTGATTATATACGTACATAGTTATTGAAAAATACAGATTATTTTTTAGTATGTATTGTTTTTAGTTTAAATAAATCGACTGAAGGTACTAATTCATTAACTTTCCGGTAGTATAAGTTATAGTAATCGAAAAAAATCGAAAATGAAATTTTTTATATATCTACGTTTTAAAGCCTTCTGAACATTTTGGCATACATTAGAAACATTTGTTGTATGTGTGTGCGGATACAATTTTGCGTCGACGATTTCGAGAACACGGATCAACCGATATAAATGTTTCAAAATTCAATTCCTATAGATGGGAAGACGTGTTGATTAGGTTTTGGCAAAGGCAGGTCCATAATTTTGGCTAAAAGTGTCAAAAATAGTAATTCGGTTTGTGAGAGAACGGAACGTTTGATTTGAATGATTTAAAAAACACTTAATTTTACAAAATTAACAACAAAATTTTTGGGAAGGCGGCAGGTTCAGTGGTTTCGCAGATCCAATGAAAAAAGTTATAAAAAACGCTATTTGGCGGTCAAAAATGACCGTTATTTATTATTAGATATTATTTTATAGATATTTGTTTGTTCAAATAATAAGTAAAAATTTTATTTGCATTTCGATGGGTTTCGTATCAAGATTTATAATGTTTTATAATTTATAATGTCAATTATAATGCGGCGCGGCGCTTACGCGCTCCGCTAAAACGGCTACGAGGCGCAATTGCTTTCAAATCAAATGGTTGCAATTTCAAATTTCTCAATTTTCTTTTTTTTTACAAATAATTGTTAAACATTTTAAATTACGATACTGGAAGTTCCAGCAATTTGCCTTAAGGAACGATGCCATGCACTACTAGTTTACTTCCCGAAGGAGGAGTTTATGTTTTCATAAAAAAATCCGATTCGCTAATTTTATCTTTTCTCGACGTTTCAAGCCATTCCGAATCGAATGAGACCAAATTTGGAAAAAGTATGTGTGTGTGTGTGCGTGTATGTGAACATATTTTTTGCCGTAAATCGACGTTTTCTCGAAAACGGCTGGACCGATTCCAAAAATATAAAAGCCATTCGATGTATCTCGATGAGGACTATCGTTTGTTTCGTGCGACGATCTGCCAAGCCGTTTCTTTATAATTTTAAAAAGAGTGTTAAACTTTTCGTCCACGTTTAAGCTCATTCTACCGAATCGATTTTAAAAAATCAAAAACTGTTCGAAAGATATTAGTTGGGATTGATGCTGATTAGTTTTAGGTGAAAATCTACCGAGCCGTTTTGTTGTTAACTCTTGAAAAAAAAAATTAAGCCGATTTTTATCGAACTTTTTTTAGCGATATATATCATGGTCTTATAGGACTCACTGCAATATTACGGCCTTACGACAAGTAGTTGAATTTTAAAAATTCATCAAAGTTTGAGAAAATGAGTAGTTTTTCTGACGTTAGCTAAAATGAAAATTAGACGATTTACTTGGTATAACGATAGAGTACTTGATCTTAATGAACATACTAAACCATTAAAGTCCTACAGAAACTGGTTCAATTATAAAAATTATTAATTTGCGAAAATTTGCTTTAAGAGAATACTCCGAGTTAGCGTATTCGTTCGTTCATTTTCAATTATGTGTAATAAATTCACTCGAAATACTTTTAATCACTCACAAATTAATCTATTTCTTATTGATTAAGTCGATTATTTACACATATCGGAAAGTTCATGTAACTTGCCTCAAGACTAAATACCAATACCAACTAGTTTAGTTTTTTGTAGTTTAATTAAGTTATCGACTTCAGTATATATATATAATATATATATATCGGTATAGCGTCGGAACCGTGAGGGCTTGAGCCCACCTATGAATTTTGATGGGGGGCTCAGCCCACCCATCAATCTCAAAAAATTGTATGGGCTGATACGTCTAAAAAAAAACGAACCCACTGCCTGCCTATCAAAAAAAAAAAAAAACGAGCCCACCCATCAAAAATTTGCTTCCGACGCCACTGTATATATATATATATATATATATATATATATATATAATGTTTGTATGTTTTCTTCTTTTATAGTTCGAAACCGAAAAGCGCACCTGTCTCCGTAAATCGGTCCGAGTCATACAAGGAACGACTATCTCAAAGGCGAAGTATGAATCAGAGGCGAAAAACAAGTGACCCGAATTTATCCAAAACAATGTGAGTACATCAAAATAATTATTTGCTTGAGATTTGATTATTTTAACTCTTTCGTTACGACAGAGATTTCTGCAGAAGTGACACTGCTGTACGGGCCAGCAAGCCGCTCTAGTATTTATTGCACAACATATTTTGAGTTTTTCCCATTATTTTATCTATAAAAATATATTTAAAAATTGAAAATTATGCTTTTAAAGAATTATCAATTACAATAACAAATTCGTAATATCAATAATTTAATTCAGAGTGATAAATCTTGAAGGGAAGGGCCGACACACTGAATGTCTTCTCGTACACACAGGCCGTTAAGCGGATGTCGCTATAGGGCGGCTCTGAGAAAAAAGAGTATTGATACATTTTTTGTAGGTAGTTTTAAGCTCTTCAATTTTGCTTGAGGTAATTTAGCGATAAAACTGACCATTTAGCTGAAAATCGCGAAAATTTATTTTTTTCTACCTTTGGACTCAATGCTCATTTTTTAGCTCGCATCGTAACTATGAGGACTATTTAGATTTCTTTTATAATTGAATTTTAAGCAATTTTACAAATTTACAGCCCATTATGCGTTACTATAACCTTCACCCTGATTTTAGGTTTAAATTGACCGGGCTAATATATCCATTTTATTTACTTAGCATTAAAAAATAAATACATATATGATTCATATTAAAAACATAACCACATTTTGGACTATTTTTTTTTTCAAGTTAAAATTAAATTGTTAGTGCAGAAGTTATACTAACAATATGTATAATTTATTATTATAATAATTATAATTGAATAATAATGCATTTTTCAAATCTATGTATCGCCGTTGAACGCCCGATATTAAAACTCAGTTCATATAAAGTTTATAAAGATAAATTATATATATATAAATATATATATATATATATATATATATATATATATTTCGGAAAAGAAACAATCAATATATTGAAAAAATCCAGGACTTATCTATTTAATATATATATATATATATATATATATATATATATATATATATTTATACGCAATACATGTATAGTTGTATTGAGCTTTGAACAAAGAATCCAAAATAGTATTGAAAACTCAAAAAGTTTGTTAAACAATTATTATTCTTATTGTTCACGTTTTGGAACTATGTTCGTTCCATCTTCAGGACATGAGCGAAGAACATAATCGATATTAGACGATAAACAAACATATATAATATAATAAAATTTATAAATGAATAGATAATATAAAAAAATATCGAAATAAAAAACAAAAGTTTTTTGAGTAGAAACTTTAAAATAGAAATAGAAAACAAAGTTATATTTACCTGAATCATTTAAATAAACAACACTTCGTATATCACTAAAACAATAATTTTTCATTAAATGTATTTTTATTAACTTTTAAAGAACTTATTTTAACTAAACTATTTTAAACAAAGAGTGTACTTTTATTAACTTTCAAAAAAACTTATTATTTATTTTCGAGGAAATTACTAGATTAATTATTTCAGAGTTTACATTATAAACGAAAGTTTATAATTAAGTCGATATTATTAAGATCACGTTATTAATCAGACTGAATTCTGTCAAAAAGCTAAGCGCAAAATACATTATGAAATATTTTCAATACAACAGGTATTGAAACTAAACTTTGATCCCGGGTCAATAATATAGTAATCAAGAACAAAAATTGAAACAAACGGATGTAGAGAAGCAAAAAATGAAGTGTTTAATAATTATTTGTTAACAAATGCAGAAAGGTAAAGAATTCATAAATATGAGACAACTTTCGGCAGAAAATTTTTTAAATGTGGAATTTGCTCGATGTAAAATATTTGGATTATAAATTTAAAAATACAAAATTGCGCTTTGAAAGTTTTCTGTTTGTTGTTCTCGACACTTGTTCATGTTGTCTTATGATTTTATATTTATGGGAAATAATTAAAAACTAGAGAATTAGCTAACGAGAAATAAGAGTATAAGGATGAACCCGATATTAAAATGTTCTCATTTTTACTAATAAAAGACGTATACGATGTTACTAATAAAATATGCATTTTTCTTAAATCACATAATATTCTTTCTCTAATTTCAACAAGTTTTTTCATGCTAGTATCATTTTATTATTCTGCTAAAATATTTGAAGATGAAAGCATTTTAATATCGAGTTCATTCTTATAAAGTTTTTTTTATAACTATATTATTGACGCGGGGTTAATGATAAGTTTCGGTCCTTGTTGCACATAAACATTTTATAACGCGTTTCTCTCGGCAAACAAATAATTTCATTCTCTCAATTTTTTGTTTTAACCTTGTTATTAAAAAAACTTGTTTTTTTATATTTTGTTATATAATCTATTCATTTATAATATTGTTGTATTAGTTTTTTTAATCTTTTAATCAAGATCATGTTTTGTCAAATGTTCTTCTGAAGATGGAACGTACCATCGTACCATAAATGATTTATAAAATATTTTAGGTTTATTACTATTTTTTTCTTTTTTCGAAGCTTCAATCGGAATTTGGGGATAAGCGTAGTTCATACTGATGGAAGTTTATAAATAAATCTCTGTAAAATTTTTAAGTAAATCGGTCGAGTAGAAGTTGAGAAATCGTGGGTATCGTGGGTCTCTAGACAAACGCTCTAGGCAAACAGTGTAGGATTATTATGGTCATACAGTTATATCTTCGAAAATAATTTGAGTCATCTAATCTCACTCCTCTTATACACATATTTTTGAAAAGTTAATGTTTGAAAATATAAAAAAAATAAATAATAGACCAGAAAAACACCACCTTAAATCGAATTCATCACTTCAGTATTTGATTTTTTTAAACAGAAAAACAATTACGATTTTTAAAATTATCGATGGTTGAATACAGCCAATGTGTTTGTTCATTGGATAAATTTTAGTCAATAGTTTGAATATTACTTATAATTAACACGTATGAACTTGCATGTTTAAAATAATTTACACATAAGTTTTAGTATTATCAGTTACAAGTTGAACTATTTTTAATTAACCCAAAAACATGGTTATATATTTTTATATATAATGTTGAATATTTGTCTAGAAGAGCGGATAAAAGTAACCAGATAAGTTATTTTTATCTTCCTGAAAGAGAAGTTTCTTTTCGCCAAAAAAAACGACTTGGTAATTTTATTTTTCGACGTTTCAAGTCATTCTGAATGATTTTTGAGACCAAATTTGGAAAAAAGTGTGTCCATGTTATGTATGTGAAACAGCTGAACCAATTTGAAAAATTTAAGAGCCATGCGAGATTATTCAACAAGTATCATATTTAGCCTTATCGCAACATTTTGCAGCCCTCGCGAAAATGTATTTTTTAGACGGGTTGAAAAAATTGGAGCATATTCCAAATATATCGAGCTTGAAGGAGATTATGTCGAAAAATAAATTGCCATTTTTCCGTCGCAATAGGCTAAGTACTTGTTGAATGTCTCACGAACTTGATAAGGACGAGCGTTAAAATTAGTTTGGCGAGACATTTGTTCAGAATTAGCAGAAAAGTGCAAAAAAGCTTGAATCGATTTTTAAAACTTGAAAGCCGTATATAAGATATCAGATCGTGCTGATTAGTTTTTGGCAAAAATCGGTCGAGATTTTTCTTCGAAATTTAAAAAAAAAAAGAAACTTAACACTTTGTCGTCCGCTCGTCTAGTAAATGCGCTTCAAAATACTTAAGTGAATGCGCAATAGTCATTTAAGGCCAGGAAACGACAAAAAATACGACAAGAGCTTAAGTATGATATAGAAGTATTAGTCGATGGGAGATTTTATATTTTTTTTAAGTGATTTTTTTGCCATTTGATTCCGAATTTTGACTTTAGATTCGTGTTCAGCGATAAAAAATACATTGGAAAACATATGGTGCACAACCAATACAGATAACTTTTTTGTGGATTTGTATTATTTCCACGCATCAGGAAGTTTATGAAGTTTGCTTTTAGGGGGTATTTTAGTGTAGAGGCATATATTTTAGGTCATCGCAAAAAAGATAATCCATTTTTTCGCTATTATTTTTTTTATAATTTATTTATCAATGTTTCAAGAGTACAGAAATGAAGTAAAAAAAAGTTATCAATTTTAAGAGTTAGCAATTGGTGAAGTGGGACGTCTCAAAAAATTCCTACGTGATTGCAACTCACCTAGTAATCTGAATTGAAAAAAAAAAGATTACTAATCTAGAATTTTGTCGCTATGATATATATTTAACTTCCCGTTAAAATGAAATTTTTTATATGTATCTACGTTTCAGAGGTTTCTGAACATTTTGGCATATCTTAGAAAAAATGGATGTATGTGTGTGTGTCTGTGCTCGCGGATACAAATTTTCGTTGACGATTTCGGGAACACGGTTCAACGGATTTCAATTGTTCAAAAAACGTTCGATTGCTGTTGATAATGAGACGTGCTGATTAGATTTTGGCATAGGCAGGTCTAGCCTTCGAAGATACGGGGCAAGAAGTGCCACAAACGGCGTCCGATTTTACCTGATTGAATTTCCATGAACTCAGGCCTAGCGGTTTCGGAGATCTAGTGAAAAAAGTAAAAAAAAATGCCATTTGGCGGTCAAAAATGATCATTAGACATAAAATTATCAGATATTTTATAGAGATTTTAACAATAAGTATAAATTTTGTTTACATTTCTATGGGTTCCGTACCAATGTTTATTCGTTAGAGGGCGACGCGGCGCTTACGCGCTTCTATATTTCGTCTCTATGCAGTTAAAGCATTACGATTGCTTTAAAAAAGTTCAGAATTTTCAAAATATTTCAAAATAAAGAAAACATGTTTTCATAAAAAAGTAATTTTTTGTCAAAAATATAGTTTCTCAAAAATCAAATTTTTTAAAAGTAAATTTTTTTCAAAAATGTTATTCTTTTTTTTTAAAAAAAAATTCTGGTACGGGAAGTTCTAGCAATTTGCCTTAAGGCACAATGCCATGCGCCCCACGAGTTTTTTACCGCTTTTGAATTTGAGATTCTCGAATTTTTAAATATAAACATTAAAATTTCGGGATGAGTCTAGTATATACCAGAGAGGAGTCTTTAAAGAAGATTCTCTGAAAATTTCAAGCAAATCGGTCTAGTAGAACTCGAGAAATCGTGTGCTTTGTATTGAAAATGATGATTTGTCAAAAATGCGTTATAAGTTCGCAAAAGGAATGAAACACAAGGGGATTATCATGGTCAAACAGCTGTATCTCCAAAAAGAAATTTAAATTTTTAAAAATACTGTCGTACAATATTATTAAGTTAATTTTCTGTTATGAACTTTAAATATATATATATATATATATATATATATATATATATATAACACAATCAAAATGAAGAATGGACACGTAATTATGGAAGCTTCACAAAGCGGATATGAATTATACGACAAACACACGACCGTTAATATTGTCACGTTAATGGGGTTTATTTCGGTCTGCTTCCTTCAAAAATTCTAGATAAACTGTTTAGTATATGTATATACATATATGCAAGGATGCAATCAATACTTATTTCTAACATTCATAATTGCGTTGTGCTCTTCAATATATATGCCATATAGGAGAGGATGGTACATATCCAAGGGTTTTTGCAAATGCAACGCATGCGCTTGAAATGCGTGATGCCGGCATAGTAGATGTGTCGCCGTAATAATCTGTTACCTCACTAATAGGATAACTATGTTTTAGTTTATCACTGTTCCCTTAAACCTCCGTACGAAATACGTGCTGCATTGTAACAAGACATAAATGTTGATGAGGTATCTCCATGTGATAATATTCTGTGCTAATCATGTTTATTCTATTATATGTATATTTATATATATATATATATATATATATATATATATATATATATATATAATTACGATTGTACGTATATATGTATGGACATCGCTTTATCGTATAATTAAACCTTCTAATTATGAATTGCAGTTAGTTATTTTCATTAATATTACACATGACTAAATGTGATTGCGATGAATTTCCGTAAAACACAACTTAATATAATTTTGAACATCTCGTTACCTTTCGATGTACATATACTAATTAGTACCGCGTTCGTCATAAAGTATTGCAATATAAGAGTATTTGAAAACTGTTAAAATGTTGAATGAATTTCAATAGTCATTGGAATTTATCAGGATATGTTTTTCTTTTTTTCACGAGGTTAAATAATGTTAAGTATTTTTTGTTTATATTTCAAGCATAAGTATATTATTAAAGGTTTCGTTTTATTTGTAGAATATGGTGAGTACAGGTAAATTTAGCTTATGCACGTTTCATAATGATTATTTAGTCTAACGAGTCAAATGAATCGTAAAAAATAGAAGTGTTATTTCCAAGAAATACATGATATTTAGTGAAGTAATACATTGTACGAACGTTTGTCGTTTTAGATCACGACTAGGTTCGCAAAATTAGCGTTTCTTTACTTGAATGATAAATAACTCGTTTATTTTCTATTTTTATTCTATTTATATTTGGGCGCGTTGAGAACTACTTTAATTAAAATAAATTCTATATATAAAGATTTTGTAACATAAAACTAAAATATGGCGGTCAGTATCCACGCAGGACCGTTTCGCAATTGTCCGACTTTCAACTATAGAATAACGAAAAAATCGATTGTAATCGTATGTGGCATTGGGAAATCTTCTTAGTCTGCGAGAACAAACATAAGGCATGAAAGCCTTAAAAGTTTCAAGAAATACGTGTTTATAAATAATTTAATAAACTTCATGAAAGATAATAGTATCCTAATCAGCAGAAATATCACATTATACAACCAAGTACGTTCAATCTATTTTTCAAATATTTAATGTTAGAGCACACAAGCGATATCTATCATAAAATCCATTTTAATGTTAAAGTATACTATTGAAACGCTTAATTTCGCTCTTTTTAACGCATTAAAATTAAAAAAAAAATATACCAAACTCTTAAAATAATTTAAAAGACAATCTAAAGCGATTTGAAACGATAAACTGGTAATAAATGTATAGTAAAATATAGTAACATTTCACACAAAAAAATAGATAAAATGGGTGATTCATATTGAATTTACTAAAGGTAGGGCTTGCGTTATATCAATAAGTTCAATGATTTTTTAGATTTTTATTTGAAATCGATACGTTTTGCCTAATGCTTTGGCTATCAGGCACGAAAATAAAATTAAACAAAACTAACTATTAATCAATACAACAATATTCTAAATAAAAGATATCTAATTGAAAATACTTCAGTTAAATACATCAATTTAATACTAAATAAAATCAATACAATTAATTATTCGACGCATATGAACTATATTAAGACATTGAATGAGCTTTACAAAAACGACATGGACGCTTTAATTCAATTTTAATTCATTACAAAACCTTCATTGGTTAGTATCGATGAAAATGTTGCGATATCTATTAAAACTATTATATTTTAATTACTATTGATCTACCTAGATTGACGTCTATTAAATTTCATTGGGCTTGTTGTATTTATTGTTTTTGGCTCTCAGGGTGCTTTCATTGGGATGGTCTTTGGTCTCGACTTGTCATAACTGTCGTGATACCATACCATTTATGCACTATTTTGACCAAATTAGGATCAACACCAAAGTCAGTAAAAATATTTTCTGTTCATAAACGCTGAATCTCAACATATTCTGTTATGGTAATGATTTTTAAAAACTTTACACGGCCTCGATGATGTCTTTTGTGGTTGATGGCACTCAGATCGTGAGCGTAGTTCTTCTCAGCAATATTGAAAACTCTATTTCAATATTGCTGAGAAGAACTACGCTACATCACTATCAAAATTTCAGGGATTTTCAGATCACATGATTTTTTAACACAAAATTTTCTGTTCTATATATGTTTTATAACAAATTTTTCCGAAATCAAACCCTGTTGATTTGTTAATTAAATTTTATTTTTCACTTATATCTCGTATATGTATAAAATCTATCTCGTTTATATAAATGATATATATATATATATATATATATATATATATATATATATATATTATATGATATTAAAACATATAGTTTATAATATATCTAAAGATTGGTGTAGAATTGAATTATTATATTTTTAGCGATGACAGCAGAGATCACAATGTTTCGCAAGCAAGTTCAACAAATTCAAGTACATCTAGTCTTTCCTCCAGGTAATTTTTATGTTAATTATAATATAGATTACAATATAAATTATGTATATTTTATTAGATTTTGTTACAACTGTTTCATTAATGTCGAGTAAAAGAAGTTGATTGTGTAGTCAATATACATAATATAAAAGAATAATTACGAATTTACAGATCATTATGGCATTTTTTAAGGCGTTTTGTTGAAAATACTCTCTCGCCAAACAGTTGGGATAAGATGACGAATTCTTTCTTATAGTTTTTTTTTCTTATAAATTTAATGTTCTCATTTAAGCTCCTTATTATATTAGATCAGAAATATTCTGCAAAGTTAAAACGATATACGCTATGTAAATGAAATGATTAGTAATAATATTGATTTATTTAATTATACAGAAGTTTAGAAAGCCCAAGTATATCACTCGAGGCCGTGCATGGCGGATCCAGTGCATCACAAGCTGCGGGCGGCTTGATGCTTGGATCGACTTCGATTGATCTTCAAGGTGGTGACTCGGATGAAAGCGAAAATAGGCGAGATTGGACAATACAGGTGCCACCGGAAATACTCGGCACGCTCACCGATAAAGATAAAAATTCCAAGAAGTTATCAACGGTCAGTTTTGTTTTTTCATACTTATCCATAATATTTATAAAATGATATACAGGTTTGCCAGTGAGCAATATTTACATTTATCATTATATTGCATATTTAATTAGTAGTGCATTAAATGGTTCTTAGATGTAAATTGCCGTATTTCCGCTTTGTAAATTAATAACAGATAAATTAATCAGTCAAAATTCGGTTTATGTTGAATTTTATATCGGAGGAAAATCACAACCACACTGCCCCAAAAGTACAAAATTAAAATTTGTTTTACATTTTCACAAAAGATTCGTCATTGT